GTTATATAAAGCGTGCTAGCCTCTAAGGTCTATAGTATAGTCACTAGCACTAACGTTACCTATATAATTAGCACTACACTTATAATAATTACTAACCGCCTTAAGTTACTATAAATCCTAATAATCCTCTATACTAACTTATACTCCCTCTATAAGTGCCTTATAAAGCTTAGTACTACTAAGGAGAAGTAACTTATAATAGATATTATAGCGCTTTAATAGTTATATAAGTAACGTAAGATCTATAAGATCTAATAGATATAAAGGGAGAATAATCTAGTAAATAGATTTATAAAGTTATTACTAAATAAAGTGCTAAAGCAGTTAATTAATAACAGTTAATTAGAGATATAAATAAATAGATAGGTTTTATACGTGTAATAGGTTATATGCCTAAAAAGTATTAAATACTTTTTAGCTTTTTGTTTTTATTACGTTTTTAGGCCCTTTATAGATAACTAGAAAATAGGGATAATTTATAGCACTTTAGAAGGTTACTAGTGTTATAATATAGATTATTGCCTAGATATTAGCAGTATAGATTAACGCTAATATAGCCAGGATAACTACAGCTAATTCGCTATAGATCTACTAGATCTACAGGGATATTACGCAGTCAATTCGCCGCGTAATCCCACAATAGTTTCCCTCTTTACGCATAATTTAGAACCAGTATTTACCCCTATTATTCGTCACTACCTATTAATACATACAGTTAACCGTATCACCACCCTAGTAAAACCAACACTTTTACTCTTATTAAGGTGTATATGTTTCTTTACTATATAGTAGTAAAAAAAAAAAACTTAATAAAAATAATAAAGATAATAAGAGTAATAAAATAGTATAAATTAAGATAGTTATACTACTACTTAATATAGCCTTTCTAGTAGCTATTATAGTTCTAATAAGATAAAGCTAGGCTGTAGTAGTGTTATAAAGTAACGTAATATAAAGGTAAAGTGTAATAGTAAAGTAGTAAAGTAAAATAAATAATAATAAGAAGCTAAATAAATAATATAGGATAAGATAGGTAATAAATAGTAGGTGTATTTATAGTTAACTCTCCCTTTATAAAGGGTTACTTACTAAAGGGATATATACCTAGGGCACACGTAACGTATTATATATATATTAGGTATCTAGTCCTTACTATCTATTTGTCTCCTAACTATAGGCACTTACTACCTTGTCTTATAATAGTTATAGTTCTAATAAGGTAAAGCTAGGCTATAGTAGTGTTATAAAGTAACGTAGTATAAAAGTAAAGTGTAATAGTAAAGTAGTAAAGTAAGATAAATAATAATAAGGAGCTAAATAAATAATATAAAATAAAATAGGTAATAAATAAAAGGTATATTTATAGTTAACTTTTCTTTTATAAAAGGTTACTTACTAAAAGGATATATATTTAAGGTATATATAACGTATTATATATATATTAGGTATTTAGTCCTTACTATCTATTTATCTCCTAACTATAGGCACTTACTACCTTATCCTATAACAAAACTTCTCTAATATTTTCTAACTCTTCTTAAACACTATTCTCTTCTAAGAATAAAGCTGCTTAAGCTAGGTAAGTAACTTATTTAACTTAGCCTAAGCCTTTTAAAAAGCCTTAGCCTTATTACATAATAATATAGCTCTCTTTTAAAAATATAACTCTTTAGCCTCCTCCTTATAATTAAGATAATTAGACTTTACTACTAAATAATTTACTAAAGAACTATTAGTAAAAAAAACTAAGGGATTAAAAAAATAACTACTTATAAGTATAAATAGTATCTATAGACGTATTATAAGATATTCCTAAATAATAATAAGTGCTATAAATATTAAAGTTAGAAAGGACTAAATACTATATGCTATAGGACTAATAATTTAAATATAGTATTATTTTAACACCCTTATTAGAAAATTAAATAATATAAAGTAAGTAATAATAAGAAGAAGCACCTTATAATTTTATTTTCTTTATATAACCTAATATAGTGTTAGTATTATAAAAAATAAAGAAGTATAATTAATAACTCCTTAACTTAAGAGATATAACCTACTTATATAGGTCTTAAGGGTAAGACCTTTTAAAGAGGAGACCTAATATTATAACCTAATAAGCTATAGGCTATATTACCTTACCTAATAAAGAATAATAAGTAGTAGTAGTATTTATATAAATAAGAAATAAGAAATAAATAAATAACTCCTTAAAATAAAAAAACTATAGTATAAGTTATATAGCTATAAGTATAAGATAAGATAAAAAATAAGCGCTTATTTATAAGTAAGATAAGCGCTTAGTAAATACCTAAGTAAGTGCTTATTCTACCTTATAACTATTAGTTAAAAGAACTATTTAGAGAACAGCTAGGACTTATATATAAGATAGACTTAGACGTACTTAAGGATAGACTCCTATAGCTCTTTAGTAATTAACTTATAATATATTCTCTAAATATCTTTTAGTATCTAACCTTAGCAATTTAATTAATAAGAAGCTATATAAGCTGCCTTACGACCCTAAGCCTTAACTAATTACTAGGTGATTGATAAAGATAATAAAGAAGAGGAATACTGTTAACTAGGTACTAACCTCTACTTACTATTAGTAGAAACCCTACTGTCTAGAAACTAGCTGTAATATTTAAAGACACTACCTATTATAGCATCTTATTTAGTAGACTTAACCTCTCTACTAACGTTAGCCTTTATATAATAGTAGATACTCTTTTTACTAATAATTACTTATTATAGGTACCTATAGGTAGTTATATTATCTACTTTATAGGATTACTAATTACCTAGAAGTTAAAGAAGTAGACCTTTATTACTTTAGGCTCTACTAAGGTAGAGCTTATTAACCTTATACCTATGACTATTACTATAAAGTAGATTTACTAATATATTAAGTAGCTCCTTAGCTAACTAATAGATATACTAACTATCCTCTTTATAAATAGTACTAATATAATAGTTAATATTATAAATCCCCTTAATAAAGTATATACGTAAAGTATTAATATCTAATATAAATAGATAATATAAGAGGTCTATACCTAAAAGAATATTACCCTCTAACTTATTAAGGGCACTAAGATAGCTACTAATAGTGTTAGAAGTAAGAATATCTCTAGTATTCTTATACTTCTTTATCTTATATTTCCTCTATTATAGAGGTTATATATATATAAGATATATATATTTCTAATCTACTAACTTAGTAGAATAATATATATATTAACTACGTAAGCAGTATAATTACGTAATTAGCTAAAGGTGCTAGAAGATTCTAAGAGGAGCAAGATTAGCTTTACTACTACTTTCTCTAACTATCTAAGTTATTACTTTAAGTTAGGGTTATTTACTTAAGGTTATTAAGTTACGTAACTAAGGGTTAATTTATAAGCAGCTTACGTAAGTATAGAATATTCTAGTAAGCTAAATATGTCTATATAAGGGATAGAATTCTTCCTATTTCTAGTCTTCTTTCCTTCTCTCTCTAAGTAAGTAAAAAGCAAGCAACAGTTAGTAAAAAATCAATAAGACTAACTAATATACTCTCTTTATATTAATATCCTTATATCTATTTATTATCTCTACCCTTATTATCCTATATTCTTACTTCTATAGGATATATCTTTATATAAGAGAAATACTCTCTTATATTCTCTTAAGCTAGAATCCTTTATCTAAGAGACTAGCTTACCTATTATGCTAATAAATAGTCTGACTAAGTTACTAGTACTAAATAAATATAAGGATTTTATATAGTTATTAGGTATAGTAGATAGGTTAGATTAAAAAGAGCTATATAGGCTTTTATAAAGAGTATATATTACATAAGGATTTTAGTATGTAGATTAATTAATACTAGACTAATAAGATAATTACTAGCGTATTACTAAAGTTATTAAATACTTTAAAAACTCCTTAGATTCAGAGGATTTAAGATTAGGCTGTTATTTTACCCCTATATATAATACTTATTAAATTAGCAGAGCCTAAGGGGGAGTGTTATAAGGGGGCCTGTGTGCTAGGAGGTCACGTAACCTCCTAGGCCCCTTACCTTCATCTCCAGCCTCTGCTATAGCCTTGTAAGGAGGATTTCCTCCTCACCACCACCACATACCTCAGATCACCAATACACGCAGTATTGCCTCACTTCGTTGCTCTTGTGCTCCCACAGCTGTTTTGCATTTATAGTGTAAGTGTAGTCAATGTAACGCTAATCATCATACACCCCACAGGTTTGATTCCCACAAAGGCCTGCAGGTAGATCGCTCAAATCCCTGATACCGGATAAGTCGGAGCACAACCGCCGCCTAGCATTCCGCAAAGATATAACCATTCAAGGTTATTTTGCGAGAGATGCTACTGTCTTCACTGCCGAGCTCCACCTGACCCGAGGACGTGTTGAAACCTGACAAGATGATCGTATTTCAAAAGACATCGAATCAAATACATATTCGTCTAATTAATTGACCCGGGAATAATGGTACCTTCTTCCATCCCACTTGCCCAGTCGTAAGCAAGCCAGAAATGTGCGGATGAGAAGAAACCACCTGCTGGACAGTGCGGTGACACGATTCCATCGGCTTCTTTCTCTAACACACAGTTCGTGGTTTGTGCGTGGCCTAGTTTGGCGGCGTAGTTGAGCATTGTCGACCCAAACTCGCCTTCGACGTTCAAGTCGGTGTAGTACACCAGAAGCTCTTGGAAGCTAGATACGTTCCTCGCCTGTATCGCCATCCACATGGGGTATGTTGCTGCTCCAATCGGTATGTGGAGTGTAACACTGTCCAAGAGTAAAAGCACGTAAATCAAAGCAAACAACGACTGCCTGACAAGGTATTGTGAGCTATTCTAGACACTCTCCTCACTTCCTTTAGTCGTTGCGGTCAAGAATAATACCCCATGCGAAAAGCCTTTTGCCTATTACCTGTATGTCCCATTTAGGGCCATCCTTCCCCAGCAACTCCCGACTTCCATTGTTCCCCTCAAGCAGTGGGCTCCATGAGGCGTTCCTCCTGAGCCGGTGGCTCGAAAGATACACTCGCGATTGCTTGGCGTCTCTTCGGTTTGAGCATCTGATTCATGGAACGTTTGATGCTGCCTTTCAAGTCGAGAGTGTTGCTCTCCTTCTTGCCAGAGATAGTTCCTTCGGGCTGCTTCAGGTTAAGTGAGCTCTTCTTCCTCTCTCCTAGACGAGTTTTGGGTTCCTTCTGGCTGGGAACACTCCTCTTTGTCTCATTTGAAGGAGCTCTGTCCTGCTCGCCGAGATGCAAATTTCCGGTGCCACGCACCATATCCATGACAAAGTCTTTGCCCCGCTTCCTCAGGCTGCGTTTCCTCTGGTTGGAGCGTGAGTCCTAGTCACCGCTTTCATTGCCCAGGTTGAAACCCGCAGTCTCACTACCTTCGCCGGTATTTGGCGGGGCATCGGTGCCAGGGCCGCTGACTGTCACTGGTGCGTCTTCCAACGACTCAACTTGGCTGTTGGTGGCCTGGAGTCCACAGTCGTCGAATTCGTCATGGAAGGGGTAGATAGAGGGGTCTGCACCCCCAGCCAATCGCCACATCCTCAAGAGATCCCACTGTAGAAGTAGAATATCGTAATCAGGGAGGTGCTTACGATTTTTGGACCGAAAGGTGAAGACCTGGCCGTCTTCCACCTGGCGGCAGGTTGTTGCGTTAAACGCCTTCGCTAGGCCCTCACCCTGTAGCCTTCCGATTGGGTCATCTGAGAAGTCGATATTTGACGTCAATTTCATACCCTCGTCGTTGGTCTTTTTAAGCCAATGAAATCGAACTTGGATGACCCAGTCCTCATTCTCTTTGCGCTCCTCATTCGTCTTGGGCCGCTTTGCGGCCCGGTCCAGAGTCTGCCTTGTCGGGGTTTTCTTCGACTTCTGGGTGACGGTCGACTTTGTCGGGGTGGTCGTCGACGTGGGGGTAGACTTCGTCGGGGTGTTCGGGACTGTGCTCAGCTTCGTCGGGGCGGTTCCCCCAATGCCCTCTGAAGGTAAACGCTTTGGCTCCCCCATTGGCTCCAGTGCAAAGTAGCCCCTGCCCCACCAATCATGCAGTGTGGGAGTCAGGCAAATCATGTTGCTGACAGTGTCGAGTGTGTTGGATTCACCGGCCAGCTTTGGCGCAAGTTTTCTGACTCGATTTCTTCCCCAGAGCCTTACCATTGCACCCAGGTACGATGATGTCAGGTCCTGGTAGTTCAAAGCTGCGAATGGGAATATATGACAAGCTTCAGGCTTGGGGGTGTCTGTAATAACACACTTGAACTTGTCGCGGATCTTGGCCTGCGTAGGGAGATCAAGTCAGTGAAGAGTTAAGACAGAGCCACAATAATGCTGGAATTGGTAAGGACTTACGCCTTTAAGCTCTGAATCGCTACGCTTATAAGTCGCGACATTGCTGGGGGGGGCGTTATCGCCCTTCTTGGTTTTTAAGCCACGAACTATACAAGTGTTAGCTTGGTCTGAAGCTATCAGATCAAATGAGAATCGAATGGGCTTACAGATATGGACCAATCGTGGAATTTGCAGGATAGCGTTCATCAGTTCAGAACAAGTCAGGTCTTTGTCGGTCCTCAACTCGTCAAGCAGGTCCTGCACATCCCTGGAAGGCATTGACCAGAGTGCAGTCCAGAAGCACGCTTGGAGAAGGTTTGGGTGGCTTTCGGACACTAAGTCCTTCATCTCGGGTATGAGGATTCGCTTGGCATCGTATTCATCGAGGTACTCGACCCGATTCGGTTTTGTGTCGCATATCTTGTCTTCGGTCAAGATTGCCTTCAACGTGGCCTCGTCGATGACTGTGGCGTGGTGATGTTGTTCATCCTCGTAGAAGTTGCGTACGTAGTCGCAGTCGCGGCGGATCTTGGCGTTGAGCTGGGCCGATGATCCGAACATGTTGATGAGACTTGCGAGGAAAGTTGGGACTGAAGAGGGGGAGTTCGTCTCGCCGGGGTGAAGTCTCTTCTGAGGATGGGATGGAGAAGAAACAGGAAGGGGCAGTTGAGAAAGATGAGGAAAGATTAATAGAAAAAAGTTAAGCCCGTGGAAGTTGCTGTAGCCAAGTAAGGTTGGTTGCGAGTATGGTTGGTTGGCACCTACCCGGACAGGAAAGAAAGCAAGCTGTTGGTTGAGTACGTACCTACCCTGCAGGGTGCAGCCACGTGGGGGTGGAGCAGCTTGGGCCTTTGGTGGGTGTGTTAGTCATCTGCACTTGGACAAACAGACGCTGACAGTCAAAGTCAGAAGAGCAGCAAGAGCACCTTTTCCCCTTGTCATGTATGGATGGACAGAAGGAGGATGAAGATGCAAGAAGTCGCGATTGCGCCTTTCGACGACGTTGTGGGTTTGTTGTTCAAAGGAAGTTTAGTATGGTATGTGTGGTGGTGACTTAGCCTCCAATCAAGGCGGAACCATTCAAGGCAGAGATCGTGGTGGAACCGGATGACGCGCCCGCCTATTGACGCCAAAGCGTCCGATTCCAATAGCAAACCCAACCATCAAAATTTGAGCAATGACTTGATAAGACAAAGAAATAGTGTAGATACTAAAGAGAAGGACCTAGAATATAACGCAATTAGTATTAATCAAAGGAACAGCAGAGCAAGCAAGTGACAGTAGAAGTAGTTGTTAAATCACAGCGACTATTCATGTGTTAATGATAGTATATCAGTAGTGTTGTTGTTAAGACTTTTTACATGACTTTACCCTTGAACATATAAGAGTAAACTAACATCTATTAGTAACTAAACAATCTAGTGCTGACTATTACGCCCTGTTGCTAACCAACTATGGTGTTTTGCTGAGGTGTTCAGAAGCGGTCTAGTTAACGCATACATTCTTTTTCAGGCAAGGGCCACTGGTCACGGGACATAGCATACTAGAGTTTCTTTCTTCCTTTCACCCCTTTTTTCTTACAGACTTAAGTTCCCGGCTCCTTAGAGGACTTGCATTTACTTGAGGGTTGTTGCAACTAATAGTATGGGTGTGACAACGTAAATGTCAAATCAAGCGTTTGCCTTGATTGGCTAGATTGTGTGCAATGTAGCTTATATGGATCATGGAACTAGCACTGAAAACCCCTCATCAGTATGGTCGGAAGCAACTTTCCGATGTAGAGTACATTGCCGGGTGGTGAGCTCAAGACTCCATCTTACCAGCCATGGTGGAGCATGATGAGACATGACAGCCAGCTGTTTGCGAGTCTTTGGGGTTTTCCAGACACCTTGCCAAGAACCCGCAATGTCTCTGACTGCCGAGAGTAGCTCGCCGTGTCCATGACCGAGGTGATCAATAACCGAGTCCTCATACCCATCTTCCCACGTCGTGATAATACTCCATTGGCACATGCATCTTGCGATTCCTAACCGAACTTTAAGGCGGAGATGCTCATATGGAGAACAGGCGCCCAGAAGGCAGATCAGAAGACGCCGCTGACATTGCCTCGTCCCAAGCACTTGGCAGTGGGACGCCCTGATAAGCCATGGGACCAGGGGCTGTTCAGGGTGTGTGCTGACTGCATATATAGGCACACATTTCACATGCATCTCGGCCAATTGCCTGCAACGATGGTTCCACAAGTCTCGGCTGTCGCTTCCGGTACTTATTCAGAAGGCGCAAATATCACGAGCCGGCTCCTCGTCTCCGGGCCTCTCGCCGTTAACGGTGGGCGGTAAACCATCCGCGACCAAAACATTTCCCGGCAGAGGGAGAGGCGCTAGCAAGGGCGAGGGGTTTGACTGTCTGTGCAAGGGAAATACGAGGTGGTGCGTTTAGGTTTGTACATCGTATGCTGGTAGCACCGAAGGCATGGAACAGCTTGATATCAGTGCGGCTGCAGCGCACGGGGAGGCCCTTGGGATAGCGCCTCGGTCACTGTGAGTTTATTGACAACGGGTTGTTGCGCTATTGCCGGGCCCCGTATGGTCCGGTCCCCTCGCGATGTGGCTGGTCGGTTGTTTGGTGCTTGTTGTCTTGGGTGAACGGAGACAGCTTTCGGGTTCCTAGGATAAGGATGCATATGGGAGATGAGACCGGTGAGACGTTTGAGGCTGACGTGAAGAAGATGGCGCTTTCCCCCGACGATCATTCCTCTTACCGTCACGTAAGGCAGAGAAAATGAGAGTGATGGTTCTGTGCCGTCTCTAGGCAATGCTACCTCAGTCTATTCACTAATTACCCGGCGAGGTGCGCTACCCGAAAGCACGTAACTGATAGTTTCCTGCTATCGGGGTTAGCAAGTCTGTGATCAGACGGAAGAGCGCAATCGCCGGGTTCTAGGGTGTCACTGGGGCAGTCAACACATGGAAAAGGAGGCGAGGCAACAGGGGACCAGTGAGACAGTAATCCCGATCATTAGGGATGGCGACGAGACAAGACACGACGCAGACCAGGCTGGTGTGCGCGAACTCGAATAGTACCATAGGTATCCGTACAAAAAACGGCGGGCGTGACGTCACCTCGGCGGATTGATACGAGAACCCCAGTGGGCCGTTGCTGGCTGCTCTCGCGATGAAAACAGAGCGAGGGCGGGTGCATGGCAATGCGTGCATGATGGCGTTTTTTGACTAAAGTACGGAGTAGCGCTCTGTGTTTACTAGATTTCCTCCTGGCGGATCGCCCGCGTCTAGACTCAGAAGGGTTTAGACGAGCTGATGTTGTTCTTCGCTAGCTTGAAACCTCTGGGGGGCGGGCCTGTAGTACTTTGTGCATTCAGCCCGACACCACGTTGAACTCCCCAAGGAAATTGTATGACCAAAAGCATCGCCGTTTTGTTCCGCTGTCTCTCTGCTCGAAACGGGATGTCTTATCAGTCGCAATGCGGATGCGGTACTGATATCGGGCCAAGGCGAGGGGGCTCTGCAGGTGAGCTGGAGACATGGTAGTATTTGAGGGGCAGGCTTGATGCAGCTGTTAGACAGGCAGCAGGTGGCCCTCATGTCATGTATTGCCTCTTGGGGGCTGCTTGGCAAACCGTTGGTGATTGAGGCGAGTGGAACATTGCATCCGAGACTGCGCGCGCGAGAATCCAAACTGTTCTCCTAGGAACGGCCGTTACCTGTTTTTTGAGGGCTTCTTTACGGGACCCTGCGACGAGAGGTCAGGATCACAGGGGAAGATAAAAAAAATTGGAAGGACAGAAAGAAATCCCATAGTGAGGGAGAAGCCGAGATGAACGGCAACACATGGATGATGTACAGAGTATCCGTCCAGGGTGTTTAGTTGGATGAAATGCCCCATGGATGGACGTCTTACATAAGACAGCCTGCATCTTTCCGTAGGGGACCACTTCCGCCGATGGCTGTGTATGTATGCATCAGATTAGGTAAGGTAAGGTAAGGTATGTTATGTTGAGCAATGGCTGGGGAAGGAACAGGACGAGGACGAGGACCGGAAAGAACGGCTCTCAAATGAATGGGAAAGAGCACTGAAGGAAAGAAAGGATCACTGACTGACAACGAAGCGAAGGCAACAGCAGCAGCAGCAGCAGCAGCAGCAGCGGCAGGCAGGGGGTCGGCGGCCGGGCGGGCAGGAGCAAGTGGAACCGGCAGGGCGGATGGATCGCCGACCAATTGAATCGGGCCACTCGTGTGGCGCACACTTGCTTGTTTGTGGTGGTGTGGGACATCTCATTTAACCGTATCTGCTGCAGCCTTTGCCTCTTTCTCCTTCAGGAAAGTGCGAAGAAAGACACGCAGAGGCCCACCACCCCGGGGTCTGACAGAGCAGCCAAGGAACAATGTACACATTACCAAGTACGGATACAGTCAGACGAAAAGGACAAGAAGCTGGGAGATGCCTCTTTCTCTGTTGGAAGCCCCATCATCGTCCATCGCCGAAACTGTACGAATACTCCCTCCCACTCGAACTCGTCTCGACTGACTTCAGGTGGCGCTCTCCCTCCCTTCTCGCCATGGCGCCGCCGCCGCCGACGCCGCCTCTCGCGACATAGCTCAGCCGTTGCCGAGTCTTCCAGAATCGCATACCATTTCGTCGTCCCCTGCATACATGGATCGCATCGGAGCTACACTAGGATATCCGTACAATAACGCAAATCCCATCCCCTCCCGCTCATCCGAATATCCCCTTGCCCTGGCCGAGCATGGTCTACCCCAAAACACCGCACGGCGTGGCGTTGGCAGCCCGCAGACGTGCGCCGATCTCCAATAAAAGAAATCTCCATGTCACACTGCGCTACGCCCTGCCCTGCACCAACAGCGAGCCCCGGCACCAAACGCCGTCAACACCAACAACTGGAGTCCTGGACTGCCTGCCTAGCCAGCGCCAGCCGTAGCTGACAGCCGTTGCCGTTGCACTGCATCCCGCTCATCCTCCGTGTCGTCTTTCGACTACCGAGGAGGCGCCTTCTCTCGTGTCATCACTCAAACACTACGAATTACGAACTGTGCGAGCCGACCAGCACAGAATCAGTACAACCGTCACCGGAAAGGGGATTCGTCGCCTCTCCCGCATCAGTCCGAGCCAGACGGAACTCTGGCATGACATGACCAAGCTGGGAAACCCCAAAGGGCGACAAGAGAATTGGCACAGGGCCAAGGCCACGGTGAGATTGCTCCAGGCCAGCCTCGAACACGGTCCATCTCCCAAGACTCCTCGATATCCCCAATCCCCCGGTCTCGCTTGCATCCTGGGCCTTTCCAGGCTTGCCAATCGCCCTGCGGCCTGTTGACAAGCCGCTGTTCCACTGGTCAGACCCGTCCTTCCATCTCCAGCCGTCGACCCGAACGCCCGGGGTCCTCTACACTACACCTACGGAGTACTAGTGTACTATGTAGTGTAGGTGCTCGCATTCGTAGGCCTGCTCGCTAGCCTTCAAGAACGGGCCGGGGTGGGATGCATCATGCATGCATGGATGGACGCCAGACCTGCACGCCTGCTGATGGCACGCCAAATTGACCATGGATTACCTTGCATTGGCCCCACGCTTCTCGAGCCCGTCGCATGCGCTCCGCGCCCCAAATATCCAAAATTCAATGATAACATCCAGGAGCTCCCCGGCTGTCCTCCGCAGCTCATGGAGAATTGCTCTCCCCATCCCATCTCCGTCAGTCCGGGCTTCCTTCGTTTAGAGCCAGAACCACGGCTTTACACGGCCTTCCGCCAGTGAAGACAAGCCACTCGCAATGGCTTTCAAAACGTTGTTGTTGACGGCCCTCGTTGGTCTTGCCAACGGCTTGGCCTCAACCGACACCATCACCTGGGGAGGCGACAATTCGCGAGCCGGGTACCAGACGTAAGTTCCGACATACAATTTACTCCATTACACTATCGCCTGTTCCCCGTATCTCCACCGGTGCCGATCGTCGCCTGGTCGCAATGACATTGCTCCGTTCGCTCGGTGGGCGGGGGATCACCCGATCATACACGTGTCGGAAGAACGGCAACTAACGCGATGCTACAACGGGAAGAAACCACAACATGGACCCCTCCGTCGTGGGGAGCTCCCAGTTCGGCCAGCTCTTCCGCACGCTTCTCCCGGGCCGCTACGGCAACGTTCCCGAGCAGATCTTCTCCCAACCACTCGTTTACACGCCCGATGGCGACAGCACCCAATACGTCTACGTCGCGACAACACAGAATAATGTCTACAAGATCAATGCAAAGACGGGCGACATTGTCGCATCCCGGAATCTTCACATCCCCTTCCTTACTTCAGATCTCAGCGGCTGCTACGATATTCAACCTCACGTCGGGGTCACTTCTACTGGTGTCATTGATCCTTCCACCAACACGCTCTACCTCACGGCCAAGACGTATGTTGACCAGACCCAGCCGAACGTGGCCCAGGGTCGTCCCGCCGGGCGCTACTACATCCACGCACTGGATGTGAACGACCTTAGCGATCGTCCCAATTTCCCCGTCGACCTGGAGGGCACCGTCGCCAAGAACAACCCGATCCGGTCTTTCAACGGAGGCATTCACCACCAGCGACCCGGCCTGCTGCACGTTGGCAACTATGTGTACGCCGGCTTTGCTTCCCACTGTGTGCAGTATAACTTCACTGGCTGGGTCATTGGTTGGGACAAGACGACGGGTAACACTGTCGAGCGCTTCGCTACCCAGGGCGACGGCGTTCCCGCCAACGTCGAGGGCGCTGGTATCTGGATGTCGGGCGGCGGCCTAGCGTCTGACGATGCCGGCTCCATGTTCTACGCCACCGGCAACGGCTACGCCTCCCAGCTCAGCACAATTCCCGTTAACGGCCGTGAGCCCCCGACGTCTCTGGAGGAAGCTGCTGTCCACATGACCATTAATGAAGACGGCAGTTTGAGTTTGGTGGACTTTTTTATGCCATGGGAAAAGCAGGCACTTGACGGCGCCGACAAAGACCTGGGAACCAGCCCTCTGCAGATTCTACCGAGCACATTTTCTTGCGGCAACATTCGTCGCATTGGCGTGGTGACCGGAAAGAGCGGCAAGACCTACTGGCTCAACCTGGACGATTTGGGTGGCTACCGCAACGGCGCCAACGGCCTGGATAACGTGATTCAAGTTTACCAGAATGAGAACTCCGTGTATGCTGGTGCAGGTGTCTACCCTGGCGAGGGTGGCTACATCTACATCAATGGTAAGGGGCTGGTTTCATCAGCATCTATCTCAGCAAGTGCTAACTTTCAAAAGTCATCCAGTACCCTACCCACGTCTTCAAGTTCTCGTGCGATGCTGGAGTCCCCTCCTTCACCAAGGTCGCCGACAGTCCGATGAACAATGCCTACATCCTCGGCGTCAGCCACGGCACGGTCACCACCCTTAATGGTCAGCCTGGTACTGGTCTTCTCTGGACCACCGATGTTCAGGGCTCGCAACTCAAGATCTTCGAGGCCGTCCCCAAGAACGGCTACCTGAACTTGATCAAGTCTTTCAGCGTTCCGGCCACCACAAAGTTCACCAGAGCCGTCTTCGGCGATGGCATCATGTACCAAGGCACCACCCAGGGATACCTCTACGCCTTCGGTTCGCCCGTCACAGCTCCTCTCAATTGCACGACCACCAACGAGTTTGGCACCGTTGACATTGGTTCGCAGAGTGACCCGCGCACCATCACCTGTACCGCCGTGATTGGCGTTACAGTTGATGACGTCGGCCTGGACGCAGCTGAAGAATTTGCTCTCTCTGGTGTCCCCACGCTGCCTCTCACGTTGGCTGCTGGTGAGCAGTTCACTATCGGCGCCGCGTTCAAGCCGACCACTGTCGGACTGGTTTCTTCCGACATCGTCGTAAACTCCACCAACGTCGTCGCGGGCTACAGCCAGGGCACCCACATCCGACTGACCGGTACCGGTGAAAGCGCCAACCCCTTGCTGTCCATCACGCCTCCTACAATCACTTTCCAGGGTGTTATTGCTGGACAACAAGGTGGCACGGACGAGAACGTGATCCTCTCGAACCAGGGCAACTCGGAATTATCCATCACTGATGTTCAGTTCTCCACCACGAGCGCCCAGGGTCCTTTCACCAGCTGGGACAGAGCAACCGCCAGTCTCACTGTTGGCAAGTTCACTCTCACCAACATTCCCGCTTCCATTCCCGCCAACACGGCTGTCGCCATCCGCATCGCTTTCGATTCTTCTACCAGTGGCACCTTCGGGGCTTATCTCAAGTTAACCTCAAACGGTGGAACCCAGTCCTTCACCGTTGCGGGCTCTGCGGGTCCGGCTCCTGTGGCTCTCGTTGAGTTCCAAACTCCGGATGGTACTGGATGGGTTGAGTACGAGGCAAACAAGAACTTCACCTTCGGCAACGTCACCGAGAATAGCTCCAGAGCGCTCAGGTTCCGCATCACGAACAATGCCGCTGAGGGTGCTGTCAAGCTTTCCCTCACCGTATCGAAGCCACCCTTCGGTATCCCCGGCATCATTCAAGCTGCCAACTCGGTGGATCTTGCAGAGGGTACTGTCCTCGGCCCAGGCGAGAGCGCTACCGCGACCATGATCTGCACGGTGCCCAAGGCCCAGTGGAACACCGACCCGTACACTGGTGTCGCGCCTTGGACGATGAACACCAACGATCCCAACTTTGAGAAGCACTTCTTCAACTTTGAGTGTACCGCTGTTGCCCAACAAGCGCCACCTCTCCTACCTAACGGCCAAGGCAAGCTCCGCTACATTGGCTGCTACAAGGAGAACAACCCTGGCCGTCAGCTCTCGAATCAATTGTACGGAAATGCCGCAAACACGAACGCCATGTGTATCGCTGCCTGCGCAGAGAGGGGGTTCGTTTTCTGTGGTACACAGTACCACACTGAGTGCTGGGGTGGCATGACTATCCCCGTCGAAAAGGTTGACGCCCGCAACTGTGGCTTCGATTGTGGCGGAGATCTTAACCAGATTTGCGGTGGCAATGGATTCGGCGAGGCTGAAGGCATAGGTGCGTACATCTCGGTTTTTGCCGACTCAGTCCGTTGGGACGGCAATACCACGACGCCTCCCCCGAGCTCGGATCCGGCCAGCCCCGAGGTCAACCCTGGCGTTGGACAGTACGTGAGCCAGGGATGTTACACCGAGGGCACAAACGAACGCGCCCTGACCTACCTAATTGCCACTGAGAAGAAAACCGTTGGCCAGTGTATTGGGATCTGCGCTGCAGGCAGATACACATATGCCGGATTAGAGTACGGCGGAGAGGTGAGAAAACTGCTAGAATTCCATCTTTCGACAACTAGAAGCTAACTTTGTCGTAGTGCTGGTGTGGAAACACCCTCGCGGGCACATCTTTACCTGCTGAAGCCGCTGACTGCAGCATGCCTTGCGCTGACAACAGCACAGAGTACTGTGGTGGCACGTCCAGACTTAACCTATACAAACTGGAGGGCGACTTGCCCGTGACAACGTCTACCGGTGCTTCTCCCACTAGCGCCGAGACAACTGCTCCCACTGCCACGGCTCCTCCCACGAACGTCCGGGTTGGTGACTGGCTCTCGCAGGGCTGCTATACCGAGGGTGAGGGCGTTCGCGCTCTGCCCGCCCGCATGTATGCCAACGACTCCTTGACTCTGGAGACTTGCGGCGCTTTCTGCCAGGGCACCAAGTACTTTGGCGCGGAATATGGCCGCGAGTGTTGGTGTGGCAACGAATTTGGAACAGGAAGCGTCCTCGCCGCGAACCAGAAAGACTGTTCCTTCCCTTGTGGCGGTGACAGTACCCAGTTCTGCGGTGCCAGCAACAGGCTGAACGTTTACATGTACTCGCCCGAGGCGGCCAAGAACGCCTCTGGGACTTTGACAGCGGCTGCCACCACGACAACTTTCTCGTCGTTGGCGGTTCCGTCTAACGGAACCGCAACCGCCACCGCCACCGCTACAACCACCGGGACACCTCTCACCAAGGATGCGGTATCACAAACCATGATTACTATGACTCCCACAGCAAACATCTCTTCAGCTGCGTCTATCATACCATCCGAATCGACCATCACTAGCGGCTCTGTGATTATTACGACTGTAGCATCTACTCCTTCCGCAGACAACTTTACAATCTCTGCAACGTCCGAGGCCTCTAGCGCCCTGTCCGCTCTTTCAACTGCGAGCCTATCGCCTGCTTCATCGGCAGCCGCCTTGACAACTACCACTTCTACTTCCTTGGCTACTCCCACGCCGACTGGCCCCGTCATTTCACCTGGTAACGAAAACTTTACGTACTACGGCTGCTTCTCTGAGCCCGAGGTCGGCCGTCTCCTCCCGAATCAAATTCTCAACCTTGCCAACATGACTATCGACACGTGTCTGGGCGCCTGCTACGATAAGAACTATGCAGGTGTCGAGTATGGCCGCGAATGTTGGTGCGGCAACTCCTTGAACATGGGCGGCGCCGACCAGAGCAAGCCGGCTGCCAATGTGACGGGCACAGAGTGCTCCTTCACATGTCCTGGCAACAGCACCGAATTCTGTGGTGCTGGCGTAAGGATGAACTTGTATATACTTACCGAAGAGCTGAAAAGGCTGGGCAAAGCAAACTCAACGACGTCGTTGAAATACTAATCAAAATCTCAAAGGAGGAAGCGTCTGTTTTCACGTAAACATAGAGGACCAGGGCCACGGAGCTGCAGGTATACAAATGCAGCCCTTTCCTATAGATCTAAACATATAATTTATTCCCATCCTAAAACAGCTGTTCTTACCACAATCTTGACGTGAATTCGACGACTGTCGTTGTCATCCTTCTCAACAAGAGCGACGTAGCATTTCATCATGTGCCAGGATACTTCTCTAACGCATTAATAGACTCATCTTTTTCATTTGCTTACTTTGAGGCGTAATGCCTGATGAATACTTCCTGGTGTCTTACTTGCTGACCACCCACTTAACGTCACCCCGCATCGTCACCAGCGACGTGGTTCGCGAAGGAGACGCGCGTATACAGCGTGTTCAAGCACGAGGCCTGTAGACCATCGAGATAGTACCAAGCTGGGTACGGTAGACGCTGCACTATATAAGAACCCAACGAGGTTTCTTGGCCCGTTCTTGCTGTTAATCTGCCCATAAACTCCAGGGACCTCAAACTTTAGGTAGAAACTCAATCGCAGCTCTTGTTCAAAACAATCATGGCCTTTTTCGACAAGCTCGCGGGCATTTTCGCGCAGCAGAACGGTCCGTCCTCGACGCTCGAGGAATTTCTTGTATCTCTCGGCACGCCTTCCGTCTCCATCGCAGTGCTGGACAAGGGTAGCATCGAAGCGAGATGCTTTTCGACCGTCGGCGACAATGAGGCAACTCTCTTCCAGGCCGCCAGCATCTCTAAGCCCATCGCCGGCACCGCTATCATGAGGCTCGTCAGCCAGGGCAGACTTTCTTTGGATGATAAGCTCCTCCACGTCCTCCCCGACGAGCTCTTCAGAAACTTGGGGCCGCCCGAGATCCTGCGCCAGATCACCCTTCGCCACCTGCTGAGCCACACGGCCGGCTTCCGCACCTCGAGCTACACGGGCTATCCCGACAACATGCCGTCGGCTCTGGACACGCTCCTCGACAGGAACGGCGGCCGCAACCTCCCCGAGAAGCTCAGCGCGTTCCCCGGTCAGCAGTTCGCCTACTGCGGGGGCAACTTCGCCATGCTGCAGCTCATCCTGGAGAGGGTCTTTGATAAGCCATTCACGAAGATCGTCGAGGAACAGGTGTTTCAACCCCTGGACATGTCGGACACGAGCTACGCGACGCCGGCGCACGACGACGAGACAGGGAACTACGCGAGGTCCTGGTGGACGGGGAACGAGCCCCATGCAGCGCCGTGGCACCACCACCCGGAGCTGGCGTCCGGCGGGGTGTGGACGACCCCGACCGACCTGCTTAAGCTTGTCCGCGCCATGCAGGCGTCACTCAGCCCGGACGGCGACAGCACCCTCGAGACGGAGGCGGCGCGCTTTCTGCCCACGGAGTTGGCCAAGGAGATGCTAACTGAGGTTAAGGGCGGCATGGCATTGTCGTGGATGGTGTCGCGGCGCAAGGGGCACGCTTTCGGGCACTGGGGCGGGAACAACCCTTCCTTCCGCTGCTGCGCCATCGGTTTCGCGGACGTGACCGGCGGTGTCGAGAAGTGTGACCTTGAGGAAGGGTGCGGCGTAGCCGTCATGGCGAACGGGTGGGAGGGCCACCACGGGTGCGCCAAGGTCGTACACGCCGTGGCGCACCTCAAGGGGTGGCCGTACCTCGGCACGCTGGAACACACCCAAGAGCTCGCCGTGCCCCTCCGGGACCCCGCCCGGAAGGTGGACGGGCGGTGGGAGGCATGGATCGGGGCGTGGTCGGGCGGCTGGGTGGTGGAGAGGGCCGAGGACGGCGGGCCGAGAGCGAGATTCGGGGCCATGGAGACGGTGGCGCTGGTCCCGGCCGCGATTCCGGCGGAGCGCGGCGGGGAGGGGTGCGAGATATCGATTGATTTCTTGGTCGGGGAAATGGCTGTCATGCTCCGGTTGAAGGGGGCGGAGGGGGCGCGGAGCGTTGAGGTGTGGAATGGGCTGACGTTCCGGGCGGAGATGCTGGAGAGGGTGTAGGGGCTTGGAGGTTTCGGGAGAAGACTGGTTTCGACGTAGGGGTAAGTTGCATTTCGGGTCTTAATTTCCTGTTGACCAGGAGCAGATAGATGTTTATTCTACCCAATGAGATGTTTGGTATATATCTACAGAAGCAATGTTGTGTCTCCCTCGCTACCAGCCGTGTATACACATATACAAGCATCCCTAGAGCCTTGAACTCACTCTTTGATATGATAGAACGATGCCGCTTTTGAAAAAGTTTGTAATTAATGGCAGCGCCACCATGAGAGGGCGCCGACGCGCGCCTGGACAGTCATAGGCAGTAGACTCGGCTGTGAAGAGCCACCGTGTAACGGAACGCCCGGGATCTTCTCATTGGGCCATTCAAGGGATGACATTCGGCTCTACCGGGCTGCTCGCGTCCCGCGGACTGCTTGATTTCCTTGGCTGCTGACTTGCCAAGGCAGAGCTGACCAACGAGACGATTTGTACAACTCGGTATGAAAGCGAGTGCGAGAACACTGCGCCACCGGCCTTCTCAAGTGAATACCAGTTGTTCGTATATAAATAAAGCCGCCGTGTTCAAGTTGACATGATGATGATCATATTGATTGTGATTCAGAACCATTGGCGAAAGAATCCTCCCGTTTTCTTTACGTGAGCATAGACAAATAGCCAGTGACCGCCTTTGAGTTATTGTAGACGTTGGTGGGTTGACAAAACCCATCTGGCATTTTGATGGAGGCCTGTCTCAGAACTGCATAGCTTCACGTAAATTCTGTTCACGTGAGTAGTTATTCTTGACTTAACATCTATCTGGCCTTTCTGACCCAGCGTTAGAACCGGCGGCACGATGGCGGCGGACTTGGTTGAGAAGGCCAAAGGAGTGTCATCCGAGGCAACTTCGGTCGTCATGCAGAGTGCTCTCAAGGAACGAGACAAGATGTTTTCCAGGCCCGGTGACGCTGTCCGTAGAAAGGACGGTCTCGTCGAGGACCTTGTCAGGTCAGCAGCTGCTGGCATCGGAGTCATCTCGGAAGCTTTGCATCACCGGAAAGAGAAGAAGGCGAATCAGCTACGGCAAAACGATGCAACCAAGGACCCACAACCTTCCGATATTCCACCTCAAAGTCGACCGGACGAGGTCACATCATGCCTTGAGGCCGGGGACCAGGAGGTTACGACACTGAAGACAAGATCGGAATCACCAAAGGACTCGCAAAGTTCGGGCAGTCTTGCCGCGTCTTTTATCCGTCGACACGCATGCCCGGATGGAGAGACCGTAGTAAATGGGAAAACGCTTCCGTTGCCCGTCGTGCTGCCCCAGCGGCGGCCCGAGAAGAGGGCTCGGGGGTTCGTACGGGCCTACGCGCCGGTTCTTGCCGAGGTGGGCGTCGACCAAGAAACTTTCCTCGATTTCATAGACACGTTCAACAAGGCGCTGGAACCCAACCCTTATATCAACGCCCTGAACCTGGCAGGTTTCGCCGGGATGGCAATGCCGGAGCCGGCGTCGATGCTCTTCGGGTTCGCGGTCGAGTACGCGACGGAAGCTCTCTTGGAGGGGCAGAGTCGCTACAGCTCCAACGCCTTCCTGGACCGCGTCAATGCCCAATACTTCGGCCCGCGCGGGCTCGTCTGTCTCGTCGTGACGTGGCAGCCGGGCATCGGCGACAATCAGCTCGTCGTCAACTTTGAGGGAGACGCGGCCGCATCCCGCGACGAGACGGGCCCTTCCGAGAGAATAGCCAGTATAGCCACGCAGAAGACGTCGGCGGGGGTGTACTGGCAGGATATGAAGAAACAGATGGGGGAGAGGATGAAGATGTCGAACGGCAACTTCGACAGGCTCGAGCCGGCACCGCTCGTCTTCCCGGCCGATGGTGACGGGGCCTGGAGCGGAAGCGGCATCGGGGCCAAGAAAAAGAAGAATGCCTTGGATCGGATGGAGATCTGGATGGAGGATATTTCGGACAAGCGGGCCCAGACCAGGTGGGTTGAAGAAAACAGCGACAACCCGTCGGCAGGCCTGACGCCGAAGCACGACTTCCGATCGCGGTACGCCGACCCTAGGCACCCGGCTGCGAGCGGCGACATGGTCGCTCTAGTCACCGGAGGTCGCTGGGTGTACACGGACAAGAAGAACGCCAAGGAGGGCGCCGCTGGGTCCAAATCGGAGACGGATACACGTGTCGGCAAGTCCGAGGAAGGAGACAAGGGGAAGAAATCCAAGCAAGACGAGAACGGCACAACAGAGAAGCACGGGGATAATGTCGGGATTTCGGATCGGGTCGCAGACAGCGAGAAACAGCAGAGGGGCGACGGGGACAGGAAATCCGGCAAAAGCAAAGACGAGAAGGCCAAGAAGGCCAAGGACAAAAAGGCCAAGGAAGCAAAGGCTAAGGCGAAACGTGAACTATCAGGGAAACATGAAGATTGGTTCAGCAGCTTATTCCAAAAGGTAACCACAGTTTTCCGGTCTGCGATGATATTTCGCTAACTTTGCCAAGGATGTACTCTACCTCGTCGTCATAAACCTCCCTACTGAACAACATCTCGCTGATGTAGTAGCACAAGGTACTGATGATGCCTCAACTAGCGTTGCCAACATAGATGGCCATTAGTACAATCTTAGTCAGAATCTGTCAACTTGCTTACGAGTTGTTTCTGGTATTTGATGAGAGCTTTCCATAACTTTAAATGTTGGATTAGGTTCATATAGGAGGCATGGTTATGAGCGGATTTTACGTGTGAAATCTGATTTTATGTCACTGATCTGGTAAGAATCAGTACGGGACTCTTGCAAACTGCAAGGCGTAATGCAAAGTGCAAATCAGCATATCGTAGCTTAGACTTACACCCAGAGAGCCGCTGTGATTCCATGGCTGGCAAAGCTCCGGGTTAATAGTTGGTCCAATCGTAGATCTTGAAGCAATCGCCATGTTGTAGTTCAAGCAACACGTTTGTGTATGGCCAATTAGTTGACCAGCGCGTATGCATGCGTCTGGCGCTTAATCTTGGTCGTCCTGGTCACCAATCTCAGGTAGGCTTTCCATCATCTGGGGACGGTTGGACCTTCATTGCCACGCAGCGAAGTGTGATTGGCGTGGAAGCGTTTACCCCACAAGTACATTGGAACTCATGGCTGAAACCAACAGATGTTCTTCTCGTCGGAGTCATCTCTATAAATTCTACTCTATTTCAAGTCTTTCACATTTTAAACAGCAATAGAGATTAGGCAATTACGACTTGTTCATAACTTGGTTGAAACTATGCATTCTTTAAGGTTCTGGTTGATAGGAATCTTCTCGGCCAGTATGTATTACCCAGCTTAAACCATACATATGTTGAGTCCCTTACTGAGGTAACAAAATAGCAACAGAAGATAGAGTTGTGCAAGCCAAAGTCTTGAAACCCAGAGCCGTGGAATCAAGAATCCCGAAAGCGAACCCCCAAAAGGTCTTCGATGAACCTGCCACACATTCTCGGGTTTGTGGGGTGTGCTGCAATCTGGGAGTTTCCCTCGAGTCTACCAAATCCGAGAAAAGCCCTCGCGGACAGTCGTTCCTACGTGGCATGCAAGACTTCAGCGAATCCGCTCGTGGAGGATGCCGTTGGTGCAAGACTGTGTTGGACGCGTTGGAAAATCAGGAACCCAATATTCAGAGCTCCCATAGAATCATCGCGATGCTTGACAAGACAGGAGCCTGTTATCTCTCGGTGCCTTCCGCAAGGGCCACGCTACAGTTTTATACTCCTATTGGTAGATTGTTCCATCACTGACATTATCGTGGACACTTTTGCTAACAATCACTGTCAGGGTTCCCGCCCGCTTGGAATGGGATCACCCAAGGCTACGAATTGAGGTCATCTACAGACATGAACCAGATGGTAAAATTCATCCGCTCCTGCGTCGACACTTGCGACTCTGAGCATGCTCTCTGCAAACAACCGACGCTACGGATGCCTGCGCGTGTTCTCGATGTTGGCCGCATGGACGACAACCAGGTCCAGCTCGTGGACACAGCAAGCATGATGGTTTCTCCCTATGTTGCACTCAGTTATTGCTGGGGCGAATCAAACCATCTCTTGACCACCGAAAAGAACTTTCAAGACATGACGACCGGAATCTATGTTGCGGAGTTTCCACAGACCATCAGAGATGCGGTGGAAGTCACTAGGAGGCTCAATCTGAAATACCTCTGGGTGGATGCTATCTGCATTATACAGGATTCTGCGCTTGACTGGGAAGTCGAGTCGGCGAAGATGGCTTCCGTCTACCACAATGCGTACCTGACTATTGCCGCAGGCACCTCGGCTTGCGCATCCGAAGGCTTCCTTGACCAACAGCATCTCTCAGCTTCCCATGAAACGCCGTTTAGAATGAAGTGGCGCACGGATAGAGGGGAAACCTCCATCCTCGCGGTCAGGGCCGTGCCAGCCAGACATACCCATTCCATCAATCTCGCCGGTGACCGGCAGAATTCACTTCCCCTCAATACTAGAGGCTGGAGTCTTCAAGAAGAGCTCCTTTCCCGAAGGACGATTACGTATACGCAGAACGAGCTCTGGTGGACATGCCAAACTCAGAGAGACTGCGAATGCCACGCCTTTGACGAGATCACCAGAGACGGTCCCAAGGCGCTGATGTCCCCTACCTTGATGACTACTCACTCGGCCGCCTTTGAGCAATGGCAGGCTGTCGTCAGCGAGTTCAGCACACGGAAACTCTCTTACGAATTGGATAAGCTGCCTGCCCTGTCCGGCCTTGCCAGTGTTGTCCAGAAGAAGACTGGATCCTCCTACGTCGCTGGACTGTGGAAAGACAACTTTGTGCGGGATCTGAACTGGTATTCTCCAGCAAGGACCTTGGATAAGCTGGAAGACGCAAAGGCCAAGGCCACCGGGGCCTACTGTGCTCCCACCTTTTCATGGGCGTCGGCCAATGGTCTCATCGGCTTTTTCAAGGGATCTTTTGCGGTCTCGCAAACGGGTGTAGTTCCCACTACGGAATGGGTTGCAAGATGCACCCTGATCGCTGCCAATACAGTTGTGGGTGGGAGCAACCCCCTTGGCCGAGTAGAGTCCGGCTATGCTACTTTACGCGGGCACCTTAGTGAAGCTTTGCTTGGAGTTTCCACGGCATGTCCGAGTGGGATGGAGTCCCACACGCTGAGATATCACGGAGAGTGGGTGAGATTCCACCCGGATATGCAGTTGGAAGAGGTTCAACTCACCGCGGCCGGATCGAAGGGGGCACCGGCGGTATCCATGCGTCGATCCCCAGCCGGCTCCAGAGCACAGACACTGCGTTCTGAATCACCCGTTCTTCTATTTTATCTCGGGGACTGGGGTTTCCCTGACCAGGAGATTATACGGATACAGAGGACGTATCTCGTCTTAGGGAGGTCACCTTTGGATACGAGCCAGTACGAGAGGCTGGGCCTGGCGCATCATGAGCCTCGTTTTGAATTGAACAAGACTGCCCAAGGGTGCGAAGGGTGGGTTGAAACCATAACCTTGTGGTAACGATTTGGATGTTAGAATAGAAGGTGAATTGAACTGAGTTTGCTGTAGGTAGTCTATTTCGTTTGTCGATAGTCCTAGCCGGGGTCGCCGGCCGCCCGAGCCGGCCTGCCGATCGCAACCAAAACCATCACACAGGGTTCCCCTCTTAGGGTGACCCCTCCCGAAATAAATCATGGCATCTCTGGATAGCTATTACTTATACATGAACCAATCTTGATTCACCTCCAGATAACCGCCGACAGCAAGTTTGAGTCATATGACGTGCTGGGGTATCGTAGCAAGGGGGGCAGTGTTAAACTTCGGCTTAATGTGCCTCCGAGTTCGGACGATGGTTATCCAAACCAATGTCAGTGTAGCCTTAAATGAACTTGTCAAGGAGGATCGGACTTTTGGGATAAAAATACAAAGGCAGGCTAATTGACAAGCGGCAGCACCCATAGGCGCACGTTGTTGAAGCACGGCATTCTAAGTTTAGCAGCACTTAAACGACATATCCCGGGGGTCCCCTGCATCGGGCTGCTCATGCTGTGGGGGGTTCTTTTATTCGAGGGTTATGCGGGCTATCGACCGGAAATGCGATGCCGAGTTAATTACGGTTGGTTGCCCGCCGCCATCAATATGAAGCTTGCAGACTACCGTGCATCCGGACTACGATGAGGTATTTCAAGACGCTGCCCCCAAAGCTCTTTTGAGCCCGTTCTAGCATTACCCCTCCATCCCGCACCGGATAACCAATATCGCACCAAGATGTTGTGTTTCAACCAAGTGATTCTGCTCTTTGCCGGCGCATTGCTCGTCGCCGACGTGATCCCCGTCGGGGCCTCCAAGACCGTCATCCCCAAGGGCAGCTTCGACAGCCAGGCCGACTTCGACAGCCACTGGAACTACCTCTACCCCTGGGGCTCAGACCACAACGGCGGCGCGCGCATGACCAAGGACAACGTCAATGTTGACAAGGGCACCCTCACCCTCACGGCCACCAAGGTCAGCGGTCAGCCGCCTGCGACGCACGGCGGCCAGCAGATCGCCATCAACTACCTCAGCGGCGCGATCCATGCCAAGGAGCATTTCAACGTCTCCCGCGGCGGCGGCTACGACTTCACGGCCGAGGTGAAGGCGACGACGACCAAGGGCACGTGGCCGGCCTTCTGGCTCACCGCGGTGCAGGGTTGGCCGCCCGAGATCGACATGGCCGAGTGGAAGGGCAGCGGCAAGATCAGCTTCAACACGTTCAACACGAGCTCCATCGTCGCGGCCGAGAACGTCGAGTACCCGGACCCCGACAAGTTCCATAAGATCAAGTGCGAGACGAGGGACCTCAACGGCGAGGACGTCCAGGCCAAGTTTTACTTGGACAACCGGCTCGTCACGACCCAGGTCGGCGCCGGGTACTTGGGGAAGCCAATGTACTTGTGAGTAAATCTTCTCGGCGTTAGAGGTGAAGGGGGGGGGGGGGGGGGGGGACACGACATACTAACAGAGCTAGGATCATTAACCTGCAAATGGAGGGCTCGTCGGGCTCACCTGGCCCCAGCGGAAGTAAGTTTTGTAATCCATAATTACCCTGGCAGATTGAACCTAACACTTGATTTATCAGACACGACCTATCAAGTACGGAAACTTAAGGTAGTAAGCCACAATCATAAAAAAAGAGTCTGGTGAGATGGCTGCTTCTATTATGTTTTTACCTTAGTATTTAAATTTCCATGTATCATATTTTTCTAGGGACCAGGACCCCGTTACATATTTCTACTTTATTGTGAAGTTGTTCATCAACCCCAAACTAAACCGTGAAGTATTTGAAGAGGTCAAAGAAGCCAGGAACATGGAGCGACGTAAACTTTATGGCCCAGTAAGGTTGACTCCGAAAACGGGTCTGTCACGATGGAATTCGACGTCCTGCATGTACTTGATTGCCTTCGTTATAAAGGAGGTATGACCCAGGACTATGTTCTATAATATCAGACATCCCAACGGAGCTTGTACCACAGAATTTTACCCCTGATTACTTGCCCTCCTTATCCCTATCTGAGCCTATAACGTCACGCTACCGCTGGGAGTCTAGCACCAAACACACATATATTACAATTAGATATCCGACAGTCAGTTGGGCATTTATAAGGCTAGATGACTTTGACAGAGGGAATATGAGATGGATAAAGTAGACATGCTTGAAGAGGGGTGAGTGGCTGTGGTAGGTTTGTTGGTAGTGATAGTAAGGTTGTCGTCACAGGAGGAACGCGGCAACACCTGCTGCGCTTCTCCCCAACGGGGAGACATGATCTCCACCAAGGTTCGGTGTTCCGTGACTGGCCTCTTCGGGTCAAATAAAGGGAGGATATGCTAGATGTAGATTTGTAGAGTGGAAGACCGATGTGTTGCTGTGATACCGTAGAAGGCAAGTACATTGACCCGCGTGTTTGCCGTAATGGAAGGAATACTATACTAATTGCTGACATAAGACATGGCAGATTATAGCACGTGACTTCGCGTCCACGCCGCGTGCTTGGTGGGATTTCTCAGTCGCATTCACCCGGAGCGTGCGCCCTTCTTCTCCCGCCACGTCAAATTCCTCCACATCTTTGTTGCGTCCATCACTCAGATGTTCACCTTTCCCAAGCAAATGCGACAATGAATACACAAGATGCCAACCTACAAGACCCTTCATGCGGCGGAAAGGCAGGCCCTCGAAGACTGGAACGACTCCCAAGATAGCCAGGCTATTTTCGATCGCTATGTGGCTGAATACGGGATCGGCGTGGTGCGTAACCCCCTGGGCATATTTGCTTTTTCCTGGTGGCGTTCGGTGCAAGTCTCCGCCATTTGGGAGGCGCATTTCCCACTCTGCTGGCAGGCCTTGCATTGGATTGGACTTCTTTGAAAAGATTGGGGTTTTTTACTTTCTTTTAGCAATGCGACAACACAGGCCTCACTGTGACCATGCACTAACTATTTCGGGCGTCGCTACATACAGACAAGCAGCTCACCTCCACGTCCATCATGGACCACCTCGCGACACGTATCGAGAGCTAGGAAAAGCCGTCGCGGTTCTCCTTCGACGCGTCATTCTGATCCTTCAACCTATACTGAGAACCAGCCCGCTGTCGCTGTCTCTTTTCCCAGCACAGCACCCCCGGCTGCCAGTCCCGAATACGCGGTTTGTAACGCCCCACTGCACGAGCAAGGGTGTCTCAACTTAGGCCGGGATGGCACTGACCAGATCCAGTTACCCCAGCATCACGAAATCCCGTCGTCGGCCGTTGCCCCCGTTGCTACCGTAGACCCAAGCTGCGGCCCAGATCTGCTAGAGCCTAGAAACATACCCAACTGCCCACCCTCTCTCGAACGTACAAACGCCGATACCTCGAACCCTGCCGAGTCGCTTTCTGCGCCTCCCGTCAATGGCGACGCGGTAGAGACACCGTCCGACGCGTTCCCCGCACCATGCCACGCCCATAAATCGCCAGACAAAGCCAAAGCCGTGTCTCGTGCTTCGGGCCGACGACCCTTCACGAGATCCAAGATGGATGTGTCTCAGCAATCGCTGACTCAAGATAATGACGATCGGGATTACGAGAACTACTACGAGGGCCCTTCCTTTGTCGCGACGAGCCCAGCCTCCCAAGACGTCGCCTCCGAAAACCACACACGCGATGATGATTCTCCCGTTGTCGCCTTTGGCAGCCTCAGTCATCTGATACATGCCGATACCCAGGCTGACGAAGAGCCTTCCTCGATTCCCGACGATGCGGCCCCCAAACATGTTCGAGGAGAGTGGCGAAATCGCACCTCAAGCTCCCAACAACACTCTTCCGTCCAGCACCCCGATGGCCAGTCGCCCATGCTGCCCGCAAACTCGTATCCTCAAACCCCAGCGAATCGCCACAATCCCTTTGCCGGGAAAAAGATGGGAGATCCTGCATTGGCGGGATCCCAACTCTTCGGCCAGACGCAGTTTTCATCAGGTGTCAAACACTTCAGTCCTACTTCCTCTCGGCCCTCTCCGAATGTCTACGCCCACAACTCCATCTCGCCCAACATCATCGAGACCTCGCCGCTCAAGAACCGGCACACCGTAACGTCACCTCCCACCCTGCTTTCCTCGAGCCCTCAAGGTGTCAGAGTAGATCACCAAGCGCCCAACGACCGAGAACGAAGCCCTAGCGATTCTGGACCTCCTGAAGATGGCACTGTGCCGGAGTCGCCGCAGTTGGTCCCTATTCTCTCGAAGGCGGGGCTTGAGCCCATTGAGAAATACGAGAGCATGCTGGACTCCCAAAAGAGGAAGATGCGGAACACTGCAACCGAAGGCGGTGCATCTGTGGAGGACTCGGACGAGGAAGCGCGAAAGAGGGAGCGCCGCAGACGCGTAGAGTCCAAGAAGAAGGAAGCCGACAAAGAGCTCACCAGCATCCCCATCCCCATTGGACGCCCAAAGTCTCGAGATCTCGTCGGGATCCCATCGAACACCAAGAAGTCTAGAAAACTCCAAACGACGGCGAGTCGAGGCCGAACACGGCGTATCCCAGACGACTCGACAGAATCGGAGAACGAAGCCGACGAGTTCACTGTAGCCGACTCTCAAGACCAAGGCCAGGCTGCAGCGCAGCCGGCGGAAACTCGAGACTCTCCTGATCTCGCCGATAAACCTTTGAGGGCAAAGCCAGGCTTTGTCTCCAGCAACGATGCAGTCCCCGATAGCGCCGCCGCTACCCAGAAGTCTGTCTCTAATGGTGTCATACCGGGTACCGAAAGTTCTGGCAACAGCTCTCGGCCGAAAGATCTCATACCGGAGACAAGCCCTAACAATACTCAATCACGGCCCACGCCGAAAAGACGCAGCTCATCGTATGAGCCGGTGCCTGTCAAGAAGGCCGATACCGAGGAATCACCCGCGCCAGCTGCTCTGCCCAAAGAACCCGACGCGGATGTCGAGATTATGCCTGATACTCCTCAATCATCCCTTACACAGCCCTCCCGTCGTTCCAGCCGAAAATCCAAGCCGACCCTCAAAGCACAGTGTCTGATAATTTCAGCTCGCCCCACTGTCTCTTCAGAACCAGAACCCCTTGGAACCGGCGAGAGCGAGGCACCCGGTGCAGATGTTTCAGCTCAAAGCGACGCACCAGATGAGCTGGTTACGGATAAGAAGGGTGCGGCTACACGTACCGAACCGATCTCTGTTCGAGTAGAGGTTCCCGCCGTGGACGAAACCCCACCTCTGCCGTCTTCGCCGCCGCTGCCAAAGGCCCAGGTTGGGGATGCAGTATCTTTAGGCTCGCGGCTTCGAGAGAACTCTGTTGAACAGAATCCTTCAACACCTAGTGAAGGGGACCGGGCCGCTGCGCCAGACGCTCCGGGGTCAACAACATCAACACTCACTGTTCTCACAGTGACGCCTGTGCAGTCGGACAAGACATCCCCAGCAACCCCGGAATCTGTGGAACTGCCGCATCTCTCGCCAGACAGGCCGACTCGAGGACGGCAGCCTACCAAATCGTTGCCCAGGCCTACCACCGGGTCCCGGGTAGCGAAACCGGGCACGCGGACACGGAAGCCTTCGCGAAGGGCGGCTCGTCTTGATTCGGCATCGACGGACGAGTTGACTCGGTCGCCTTCTGTGAACGGGTTTGAAAATAGCATTATCCACCCCCCAAAGGTGACGGCTCGCAGCAGCCGCCTGTCCATGCTGTCCCACGCCTCCAAAGACAACGTTGGCAAACCCAGCATATTCGCCGGCATGGCTTTTGCGATTTCTTTCCAATCGAAGAAGGATGGCGAGAAGTCTGACCAGTATGAGAACCGCCTTGGGCAAAGTCGAGAGGTTGAGAAAATGATTGTTCAATCCGGCGGCCATCTGCTAGGCAACGGCTTCGACGAGCTCTTTGAACCCAACGCTCTTGGAAGCCGAGCGACAAGCCCGGCTTCTGAGGTTAGAGACGACAGCCCGTTGACACTGACGCCTTTCGCTCAAACCATGGGATTCACCGCCTTGATTGCCGACGGACATTCCCGCAAAGTCAAGTACATGCAAGCACTCGCCCTTGGCTTGCCATGCATATCCGATCGATGGGTTGTCACATGTGTGGCGAAGGGAGCCGTGGTGGATTGGCTTCCCTACTTGCTTTGTGCGGGTCAGTCAACCTTTCTCCGCGACGCGATCCGTTCTCGATACTTGCCGCCCTATTCGGCAATCGATGCGCGTCTCGTCGATATCATCGAGAGGCGACCCAAGATGTTGGAGGGCAGCAAGATTCTCCTTGTGATGAAGAAGTCCAGAGCTGAGGAAAAGAAGATGCCATACGTTTTCCTCGCACATGTCCTGGGCGCCACTCTCTCTCGTGCTTACAGCGTGGATGAGGCTAAGGAGACTTTGAGACACCGAGAGTTGCTCGGAGACCCCTTTGACTGGGTCTACGTCGACGAACATACTGGGTCAGAAGAGGGATTGTTCAGCCCTGATTACCAACCAACGAAGGGGTCGAAAACGTCAAAGAAGAGAAAGAGGGCCAACCCACCCGCGGCAAAAGAGGCAGCCCGGGCACCGAAGCGGATTAGGACTCTTAGCAACGAGCTGGTCATCCAGAGTTTGATCCTCGGTCGGATGATTGAGGAGGGTGAGCTGGAAGCGTGAATCGCATAGAGAGACAGAAGATGCATCGGTACATGAACAACTCGAGAGCAGAGAAGTTTTCGAGGGGACTCGGGAGTCGGAAGAGAGCACACGATGGCGTTTCGGCATTAGCGGGACTCTGGTTTTGTAGGATGATACCTCGGTCGGGATGGGAGAGCCTCTCGCATAGCATGGGTCGGTTAGATTTGTCCTTTCTCTCTACAATAGACTTCATAATGGCCATGGTCACGATACATCTCATCTTGAAATGTGACTAGGGCTCAGGTCGTAATGGTTCCCGTAGGGCTTTTGGTAAAATGTCTATTTTGCGTATCCAGCGCACATATTCACGCACATTCCGATGGGGTGATCTATCTGCCTGTCCGCACTCTATGCCTGTTTGAAATGCGCAGGAGATTATTTCTGTAGCCCTATGAAACGGCTCAGCCCTTGACAGTCGCCTCCTATATAGAGCCAATGGGCACTCCTTTTGCCATCCCAGTCGCTGGAATCTTTGGAAGAAATCAATTGAGTTTGTTAGGAGCAGGCTGCCTATGCCTGCAAACTCACCATCCTGGACAACAGTTTAGGATTCTCTTCAGAACCAGGTGGTGTTCAGTATACGTTGGGGAATAGACAACAGAGATGTCGGAAACAAATTTTCAAGATGGTTCACCAGCGCCTCTGAGTGAGCCTCGAGAGAGCTTTTCACGCAGGGTCCGCGCAGTACAGTGCCATTTTTTGTGTTTGGGAACGAAGCATGTTTATTCTCGTCGATGGCTCTTTTTGGCCATATCAGTAACAGCAAGATGATCCGTTATCCCTGAACTCCGTGTGCTCCTCCATGCAACCCAAACAAGATAAACATGCTCATGCTTTCGAATTCCCGCCCGTACGTGTGTGCCATAGACACTTCCGACCATTTACGCCGTTGCCTTTTGTTTAAACCGTCCAATTTGCTCCATGCCAGTATGTACTTTGTACTCTTCAGAACCCGAGGTCTAGCGCAGTCCAAGTCGAGATTGTTTACTGCGCCGCTTGAGAAGACTCGGAGGATTCTTTCTCCCTCAATTGAGTCTCCTTGAGAGTAGCCCGCATTTGAGCGGCGATCGAGCCGAAGCTCGAGATGGGCATCATGCCGGGGATGGTCCCGACCTTGACCAGCTTCTTGGTGTGTCGAGCTCTTCTCATGAAGATGCTCGTCTTGAGCATGGGGTAGGGCTGCTTGGTGGCCCTCGCGGCTGTCTGGGACGTCTTGGTGGTTGTTGAGAGAGTGGTGGACGAGCCGGAGGATGAGCCCGTGTTTGATCTGGCCGATGGACCAAAGATGGGAGCAGACACCCGATGGTTGATTGGACGGAGGGCACTGTTCGATGAAGCTTTGGTCGAGGTTTTCTTGATGCCGCCGCCAGAGGGCTTGAGAGGACCCTTCTTCTCCTCGGGGGTGCGTTCAACGCGGGTGGAGCTGACGGGGCGAGTGGTGGGCTTGAGGATGGCCATGGTGGAAATGGCTTTCGAGAAGAGTAGAATAGAGAGGGGTAAAGAGGGTAGAGTGGAAGAGGTAGTAGTGGAAGAGTAGTAGTGGACGGGATGAGGGTGAATGGAATGAGGATGGATGGGATGAGGGATGAGAGTAGAGTTGATGAATGTAGAAGGGATGAGTGTAGAATAGAGTGTATGATTGAAGTTGGTATTCAAAGGAGAAGATTTGGTGATGGTGATTGTTTGTGAAGAATGAAGTCTTAGTATGAGTGTCTGGCTTTTCTTCAGGAAATGGTATGAAGAGAGGAAGTTTTGGAATCGAGCAGTCCCCGAGAAGGGGTCTGGTACTCATAGGTATTGGGAAAGGCTTTCTCCGTTAGAAAGATCACCTCTATAGTTTTTGATCTCTCCGTTTAGGTATCTATAGTTTGTGCGCAAAAGTCAGTTGAATCGGTGTCGTGGATCGCCAATGGCTCAACCGTAGAGGACAAGAAAGCTACCGGGACTTCAATGTACGTTAATACTCCGAAGGCCCGATATTGCTCGTGAACATGCCATAGAGGTGGACATAGAATGAGAGTCTATATTGTGGGATCAGGGAGAAAATGACGGGTCACTGGCCGTCTTGTATGATTGACTTCGGACATTTAGATGGATCAGGTGAGCCGCCAACTGAGGAAGATGCAAGAGCTAGGTCCTCCCAGTTCACAGCTCCATACACTAGCACAGATGTCGACTGTCTTATTTTCTTCATCACATATATCTCCAGACGACTGAAGACTGCGCAGAGTCTCGTGGGAAGAGAATCGTTTCCTGACGAGAAGATGGAGGTATGATACTCACCACTCCATGGCTTCTTTGACACCATCGCAGCAAGGAGTGACTGGTGTAATTGCCGGTATCGGCGAACCGAGTTTGAGCCTGGACTGACCCATTCATCCGCAAAGGTGCTACATGCTCCTATTAACTTGCTGTGAACGGAGCATCAGGGCTCGCCCAGCTCGTCGACCCGGTATAGGGCTTGGGAAAGCACAATATTGACAAAGCTTCACCGAGTGACGGCGTCGGTCTGGCCAATCCAAGCCATCGGACGTATTAGAGTTAGACGGTGGATGGTGCGCGCAGTGAAAAAGGCCAGAGGCCTCCAATTAAGTTTCCGACGGGCCAGCCGACACCACACTCTAAATCTCCCGGTACAACCTTAATCAAACTTCACGTTGCTGCGAAATTTTGCGCAGGAGTTGGGGGGGGGAAGGATGAGTTCCTGGGCAGTGCCTTGTGAGGGTCACGATGTAGCGTGGTGGTTCCTCGCTGATGTAGCCGTAATACATGGCAAACAAATACAAGATAACGTCGAGGAGGGAAATCATTGTGTTACGTGGTCACGAAATTCGTTGAAACAGTCGCATGTTAACATTGCAAGTCAATTTGCCGAGCTGGAGCTGGGCTCGTTGTCAACAGGAGCAAGTAAGGGCTTCCAAACGGCCGCCAACTTTTTCCTCATATCCCAATGTCCCAGAATGTCCCGAGCTCTACTTGGCAGCACGCGTCGCCTCACGTGGTTCATGTGCTGCGTATCATAAGTCTGCCAAACCGCCCTCTATATACATTCATGTCATCCTCGGGTCTATGGTGCGAATTTCAACACCAGTGCTATGCCTGGGCCCTTGAGCGGGTAGAAATCACCGGCTCATCGTATCTTACCATACGAGTTGTCTAATTCTGTGCGTATACATGAGCACATCCAGGTTGCAGCTCATGCTCTTCAATCTTCATCCCAGTTAGTATCGGAGTAGTAGTCGAAAGACGCCGGAAGCGGTGCGTCCTTGCTGTTTGGGCTGTCGGGGTCGACCTCATCCACCAGGTGCTTCTTGACTCCCTTAGCAACAGGATTGCCGACATCCACGGGAGCCGTGTCTTGCACCGGCCCGGGTGAATGGTGTGTGTGATCGGCGCGCAGCATCGTCGTCATCCACTTTGCCCATTCCCAGGGCTTCTCCCGACCGGAAGGCAAGCTGTTGAAGTACTCCCAGCCCATAACCCCGCCGAAGCGCGCATAACGGCCTCGGAGCGTGAGGAGCACGGCGCCCAGCATCTCCCACGGCACCCAGCCGGCGCCGTTCTCGGGGTTCGTGACCAGGCCCATGACGACCTTCTCGGCCGGCCAGCCCTTTGCCATAATCATCTCGTACATGGCTGTGCTGCTGCAGTCGCCCCACCCGCAGTAGAACTGGGCGTTGTACCAGCCAATGTCTCCGCCACGCATCACCTCGAGCGCCTCGTAGTCGAAGCCGCTGAGGTTCTTGTCGGGCATGAGCAGCGCAGCGGCGACGGGTGCCAGGGAGATTATGAAATCTTTGCCAAAGTCCTGCCTGATGCGGTCGATGAGGCGGATGACGCCGGCCAGGCTCATCACCTCCTCGACGTCCAAGTCAATGCCGTCCATGCCGTATGTGCGCAGCATGTCGCGCAGCGGGATGTAGTATTCCTCGAACTGGGCTTCGCTGCCGTCCAGACGCTTATATGATCCCTGGGCGGCGCCGCCCAGCATGCCCATCACCTTGACGCCGCTGGCCTGCAACACACGCAGCTCGGCCCATAGTGTAAGGAATCGCGGGTTGTCGGGGGCATGGTCGTTCAACGTGAGGCCGTGGGGATCATCGTTAATGTGTATCGCCGCGAGGATTACGTGCGTGACGCTGATGCCGGGTTGGGTCAGGAGCGGGAGGATCGAGATGGGTTTGCCTTCGGGGGTGTGATGCGTCTGGTAGTAGGTGATGACCCGCGGGAGAGGCTGCGACGGTACGGGCGGCATCGAAAGAAGGGACTGGTGGCCGTGATCCTTGAGAGATCGACGACAATGGAGGGGATCCGGATTAGATAGTGGAACTAAGAGCGCGACACGTGGGATGGGCGAAGATCGGGTGGTTGCGTGCACCCAGAAGCTAATGCGGGGTGGAAGCGGGAGGCGGCGGTCGAGGGTTCGGATCGACTGTCGGAGCTTCAGCGGGGGGCACCTGCGTCATAGGGGTCCGTCTGGGCTGATTACATAAGCTCACTGCCTTACCCTTACTCCTCCAATAACCCTAACCCTGGTTTCTACACATCTCACTCTGTCGAGTCACTTGCTCCTCGAAGCACGCAGGAGGAAGTGTTTGTAATGAATCTCTTATCTCTTTCTCAATCATCCGGACCTTTTGGTTCTGACAAGTCTTCATCAGGCAACCCCGAGACACGCTTTCAATCTGGCCTGGCTCGGCTCAAACGACCTTCTCGTACTGGTTGATCAAGCGTTGAGGCACCAAGCCTCGCAACACCACGACGCCAGCATGAACGATACCCCATCGAACTGTGGTCAAGATGTCCGCCATAATCCACACCAACCCGTTTGTGCGCTTCCGCTCCCTCCGTAACGTGACCTCGCTACGGTCCGCCCGCTCTGACATGCTGGTGATCAGAGCCTCCATCTCCCCTTGCGGGTCCCAAATCATCTCGTCCTCCTCGAGCTCTGCGTCGTCGTCAAATTCGTCGAAGCTCCTGCGGGACGAGCTCCTGTGGCTGCGGCTCGGGCGCGCGTGGTGGTATGCCCAGCAGGTGAGGGTCGCGAGGTACAGGCACCACGGCACGTGGAACAGGTTCATGGCCTCTGTGTTTTTGTGAATCCCCCGCGTCTCCTGTAGCATGCGCGCTGCGTGCCATGCCGCGCCTGACGCGGATTGCTTCGATTGGTTGCCGTTATCGTCCACGTCCCTGCGATCCAGTCGTGCGCTGGAGAGGTAATACCTTGGCTGTGTGTCAGAACAGGTGGCCCATCTCTTGACCACTCGCGCCGACCGGTGGTAGTCTCTCTGCTGTACCGGCCTGCCCAGAATGTGGCGCGCTCCGGCGTATATCTGGACGTCAAGGAAATCCATGTTCAAGAGGGCTTGCGCTGAGTGATACAACGCCTTGTATGCCGACGCGAATGACTCAAACTCGACGCGCCGGACTTCGTCGTCCCTATCATTCCCGTGGATTCCCTGAGAACGCGCCTGGGAGGCGTTTTCTGGAGGCGCCGAGAATGCTGTACAATATGCGTCGAAGTCGCTCTTCCACGCATCGTACGCGGTGCTCAGCAACCTGCGCCAACCCGTGCCAAAGCTGTCGTGAGAAACGACACCGAGCGCGGTCTGGTCGCGTCTGCCCATGTCCCAGGATATCGACATCAGGCCATGTAGAACCAGAACCCGTGAGAATCCGGTGAGCCCAGATGGTCGTGGCGCCGAGGGGGTGAGGTACGACTTCAGCGTTGGGAGATAGAACAGCCTTTGGTCGCTCAAACTCGAGCGCCACGCCGCTGCCCACGATGCAGCATCCCGCGCTTCCCAGATGCTCTGGCTGCAGGGTAGTTCCAGCCGCAGCTCAAAGGCCGACATGCAGAGGCTCTGGCAGAAGAGCACCGCGTGCTGGGTGTCCCACATGAAGCAGAGCAAGGCGAGTCTGGCATGGTAGTGTCAGCCCCTATTCATTGATGGAAAAAAGCGCCAAGGCTTGTGAGAACTTACCTCTTTTTCTGCTCCCCTTCCGCCCATTTCCTCCACGCCCTATCCAGAGCCTCGGCATTGTCCTCTCCCAGTATTGGCGGCGGACCTGGGGGCCGAACAGACTGACAGTCGGACCGTCGGATGAGGTTAATCAAGAGCCCGTGGAACAGATGGCTCATGTCGTGCTGCTTCTGCCCCGCGCGTGACTTGCCGAAGCACTCGACCAACAGAATTGCCTGTAGGGTCCAGAGCTCCGGTCTGGGTGAGAAGCCTGCATGCGCAAAGATGCTCGGCCGGATTACGTCGTGAATGCAGACGGCCAGTTGGTGACAGTCCTTGTTCGAGTACGTTGCGCCCAGGAGCAGGATCGAAAGCAGAAGCAGGGGCTCGATTTTCCGGCAATCAAACGTCTCGAGATGGATCAGCGGGTAGGCCGTGTTGAAGCGCGTGAAGAACAGACCCAGGTAGGCTTTGAGGGAGTCTATGGAGAGCAATGGATGCTCCCATATCGTGAACCGCTGATCTGGCAGACTTGGCCTGGCCGCGTCAACCACCTCCAGGAGCCTTTGCCTAACGTCTGCACTAATGCTAGGGATTATAAGCGGTTTCCTCAGGGAGGAAAGTGGGCGCTCTGGCTCTACTGGGGCTTGCCGGCTATCCGTGTATTTCTGCCGAGTCGCTGGAGGCATATCCCTACATGTATGTGTCCGGGACACTGAGGCATCTGAGCTCCTTTCCCTAGAACTGTCTGGAATCTGTCTCCTGGAAGCTTGCGTTTCAGTTTGAAAAGCATCGGATCGACCAGGTGGTCTGTCTGCTCGCTTAGGCTGTTGGGAACTTGCTTCCATCGGTTCCGTCCACAACTGCGCGCTCTTCATAGACTCTGGGGTAACCACCAGGTTAGGCTGCGTTCTCGTGGGTGGCGGGTGGGTAGAGCCCCTAGCGTCGACTTGCTGAGTTGTATTTGTGGGGGTTGGGTTGGCAGCAGAGGCCGAGAAATCTTGCATATCAAACAGCCAGTTATAGTCAAGGGCGGTGGTGTATGGCATATTGAAAGAGCTGGCGGTGTCTGGCTGAAAGACTTGGTCATAGTCCAGCTGCTGCCCGCTGAACAGGGAAGTCTCGCTCCAGCTGCCTGCTTGAGAGGCGTCGATCTCGAACTGACCAGCTGCCGTCGTGATAAGATCAGACGATTGTATGGGTGGTGGGAATCCCGAGAAGTGATTGATGGTATCTGATGGAATGAAAACGCCTCCACGGCCGAAAGCGTACGAATGGTTGATATTTAGGTTTCCTGGTCGCAAGTCAAGCGCAGGATTCCTTGGGGCCTCGGGAGATATGCTGCCACCAGAATAGCACTGGCTCCCTCCGGGATCTAGAGATGAAAGGTTGTGTTCTTCGTTCAACTCGGGCTCCGGCGAGGGTACTTGCTGCGGTTGTGTGCGTCCACGTCCCGATCCGCCCTGGCCCCGTCCAGATGGATTTGGGCAGGGCCGTTTCTCCACCACAGACCCGTCCGGAGCCTTCCAAGACCGCTTTCTAGTGTCTAGAGTGCCGTAACCTGGCCCGCCCGCTTCGAGATCTTTCTGGCGGTGACGGTCCATGTGCCGTTCTGTAACCGTCAGCTACAAGATGGAACGAATGAGATGAGGTGATTGATGAAATGGACCATAACTGTGCTTCATTTGAAACACAAATGCCAGCAGCCTCTGCTTACTTACTCAATAGGTCAGGCCGTTTGAAGTGAGCGCTGCAAAGATCACAGCTCAGGCCTCCGGGCATATGATTGAGAGCATGGCGTTGCATGTGCTCCGCACGAGTAAATCGTCTTTGGCAACCGGGATGAGTGCAAGCGAATATCTTTTCCACGCCTACTAACCCATCGGAGCTCTCTGAGCGACGATGATTGTCATGGATGGCAGCCATTGCCATGGGGTCGTTCACGGCTGCAACAAGACCTGCTACCCACTTCCGGTCAAAACCTCAGACACCCCTAGCTGCAAAATGAGGCTTCAGCTCTACAAGCTGCACAGAGATGTGAGAAAAAGAATTGGCATCGAAGGAATTGCAGCAACTATCCAAGCTGCTTCCATAGATGGGGGAATAGGGATGAGCATGGCCATTTGACGACTCCGGCTATCCCACTTCTCCGCATCTCTCCCTCCGCGGCTCTGAACAGTGACCTACCTTACCCGGTTCACGAAATCGAGTGAAATGTCCGAAGAGGGGCTATTGATAGGCCAGGTTTGCTTGTCTGGTTAGCCCCCGCCCCCACTGTCGATCACTGCCACTCATGATAAGCAGCTAAACATCTCCGCAGTAACAAACCCAACACTATCAACAGATAAGGGCGGGGTGGAGCGACTATGTATGTGCCTGTGTTGCATTCCATGACCGGCCATGTCTTATCTTCTGAGCTCCGTATTGTAGATAGTTGAGGAAACCTGGTGTGTCTAGCCGGAGACGGAACAATGATGTGTGTATTGGCTTCGGAGGTCGCGCCATAGAATCAGCCGAGCAACCGCATACCACCTGAGCACGAACCGTCGGTAAATGGTGATTCGATGATTGCACTCTTCGGTTTACGCGTTTACAGTCGGATATGGTATGCATATGCTGGATAACGTTTGCCTTTATTGGGGAGAGGGTTGTGTATACAAGCAGCATCCCACTCTGGCGCGTGCGGAGTAGACGAACCGAGCAGCATTCTAGGTTCAGTCGCGGCCCTCATTGCGAATCATATCTTCACATTCTTTTGATGAAAAGACCAGAAGTCACAGAGTGCCTATTTAACACCTAATCGAACGTCATCATCTCAAGTAGCCCAAGACGAACATCATGCAGACGAGAGACTTTAGAGGCTATGTGATCCAGGAGAGAATACAGCGAGACGCAACCAGCAAGCTGCATGTAAGCAAAGAATGCTCCTAACATTAGGTCAAGGACTGGCTGACCATTATACTTCATAAAAGGTAATCATTGTCGGGGCCGGACTAGGCGGACTTGGTGCTGCCATATCAACACTTCTCGCCGGACATGAAGTGACAGTCTTGGAAGCTGCCTCCAACATTGGAGAAGTCGGAGCCGGCATCCAAGTCTTACCGAACGCAGCGCGGATTCTCTTTTCCTGGGGCCTGGAGGAGAAGCTAGAGAAGTTCGCCACAAAACCCCAAAAATGCAACTTCATCGGCTGGAAGGGCAACTTCTTGTCCGACATGGACTATCACGCGTACACCACTGCTGCGGGAGGCTTCCCATTCTGGGACTTTCATCGCTCCGACCTGCATCGGTGCCTTCTTGAGCGGGCAGTCGAGCTCGGCGCCAAACTCGAAACCGGCGCCAAGGTCGACACATTCACAGTCTCCCCAGACAACGCAACAGCAACAGTCTTCCTCGCCGACGGACGCAGAATGTCTGGGGATCTTGTTGTGGGGGCCGACGGCATCAACTCGAAGCTGAGGGAAGAGTTCCTATGCAGGCCGGATCCGCCCCAGCTGACGGGAGATCTGGCCTATCGCCTCCTCCTGAACACTTCCGACATGCTCAAAGACCCAGAACTGCGGAACTTTGTAGAGAACCCCCAGGTCAACTACTGGGTCGGCCCGGACAAGCACGCCGTCAACTACGTGCTCAAGGGCGGCAAGCTGTTCAACATGGTTCTGCTTGTGCCGGATGACATGCCGATCGACTGCGGTAACACCTTGCAAGGCGATATCGAGGAGATGCGGGGCCACTTTGAGGGATGGGACCCGAGGATAAGCAAGATGCTTCAGATGTGCGATGAGGTCCTCAAATGGCGCCTCTGCATCCGGCCCGGCCTGGAACCGACTTGGTCACACCCATCTGGCGCCTTCACCATGTTGGGAGACGCTGTGCACGCCACTCTGCCGTATCTTGCCAGCGGGGCCGGGATGGCGCTCGAAGACGGCGGGGTTCTTGGTTTATGTCTCGCCCGGCTTACCGACAAGTCGCAGTCATCAAAGCAGAAGGCTCTGAAGATCTATGAAGAATGCCGTAGAGAAAGAACGGAAAGGGTCGTCCGCCGCGGCACCTACAACCAATGGACGTACCACCTTCACGACGGTAAGGAACAGGTTGAGCGGGATGAGAAGTTCAAGCGTTTTGGAGAAATGGACGAAAGGTGGTTAAGAGAAGACTCGCCTGTTTTGCCGGAGTCCCAGGAGACTGGGGATGATCCCTTCCCTTGGAGATATCATGGCGTAGGAAGATGGTTGTTGACGTATGATATGTGGAAGGATATTGAGTCAAAATGTCCGTCAACTCCTCCGGCCTTCTCGCTTCAAGACTGCCAAGTTCCCCGGGCAAGCCTATAGACTTTTGTTCGAATACATATCCATTAAAAGTTTCATCGTGGGATAAGCAATGGACTGAAACCAATTGGAATGGAACTGAATCACGAGATGTCTCGATGACTGTTGACTTTAGTTCTGCTTTACATGTAACGTTGCACTCAATCTTCTGAGTGAAAAAGAAAGAAAGAGAAAAGAAACAGGAGGGGGGGGGCCTTGTTCTTTAACGATTTAGTTTGCGACTTACAGATCATGGAAGCGTCTGTGAACCTTGCCAGTAATTATTAGACAACAATAGTTGTCTTATGCAAGAGTGTCCGCGACGGATTATTGCGCGCAGCCAAAACGCAAGACTATGATTGCATTGGATATATGAGAAGCTTCTATTTTATGATACTCGCTTCTGGAAATTCTGTCTAGATACTGCACACCGGCTTAAGCATTTACCATGATCTCGGCATTATCGACCCTGTAGAACTCATAATCATTGTATCCCTTCTCAGGAGGTTCCGCTCCATAGAACGTCGTACGGTCGTAGGGGTTCAGCGGCCAGCCGTTTTTCAACCGTTCCACCAAATCTGGGTTGGCGATAAAGTGCCGGCCAAACACCACCGCATCTGATTCGCCGCTCTTGACCTTTGACAAGGCGTTGTCACGATTGAAATTCCCGGCAGCGAAGAATCGAATGCCCGATGGCTTCAGAATATCTCTGAACTGCGTCAGGTTGTTTGCCGGCTTAGACTCTGGCTTCGACCCGCATAAGGAGGCAAGCTTTTGCTCCTCGTCAAGGACTTCGTCGAAACGAGGTTCGATCCTGTGATTGGGGTAACCCGAGTAAGCAACACCATGCCAGACACAAGACGAATTAGGTGCTTACATATGTACATAGGCGGGCCGCTGGCTGTCTGGGAGCTCGGCAAGTCTCTGGGAAATGTACGACCAGTGTTTGTTAGGGTCGCTGTCTCGCGTACCCTGGAAGTAGTTGTACGGAGAGAGACGAAGGCCGACTTTTTCAGGGCCGATAGCGGCGCTGACAGCCGACAAAACCTCAAAGAGGAATCTTGAGCGGTTCTCAATTGAGCCGCCATACTCGTCGGTACGATCGTTGATGTTGTCATGGAGGAATTGCTCCAATAAGTAGCCGTTTGCCCCTATCAGAAGTATTAGCGAGGTCATGCAAAAGTTGCTCATGAAAGGCTTCATACCATGGATCTCGACACCGTCAAACCCTGCAACGTCGACCGCCCGCTTCGAAGCAGCAGCCCACTCTGCCGTCAGATTGTGGATCTCATCAACGGACAAAGGTCTGGGAGGGCCATCTTTGCACTCGGTACCGTCTAGGTACTTCCCATCCATTGGCTGGCTGCCCGATGAGACTGGGGTGTTGCCACCTCTCATGCCAGCTGATGAGGCTCTGCCAGTATGCCAGAGCTGGACAAAGATAAAACCGCCCTTGGAATGGACGGCATCTGTCACCTTGCGCCAGCCCTGCAGCTGAGAGTCGGTGAAGACGCCTGCTACACCAGGGTATGCACTAGCATTGAGGCAAATGTCCGTGGCCTCGGTGATCTGGAGACCGCCTTCACTGGCTCTCTCGCCATAATACTTTGCGACACGAGTGCCGGGGACGTTGACTCCACGGGATTCGAACTCGCTCCTCATGCGAGTTGTAGGCGCCTAGAGCTGAATTGGCACAAACCCCTTGGGCTACAAGAATCCATTTACAAGTAGGACTTACCTGCACAATCCTATGCTTGAGACTGAAGCTGCCCAGCTTCAACGGAGTAAACAATGCTGTGTCTTTGAGGGCTGCAAAAGCGGGGGGAGGGGTAGTGGCCTTGGGCATGATGTATCGTTGCTAGAAAGCAGTGATCGGATCTGGTTATCGAGGATTGTCTGTGCCAATCTTGTGCGAAGTGGTTGCGCACCTAATAAGCCATCTAATAACGTTGGAAGTGCTAGGTCTTGAACAGGGCCGTACGAAGCTTGAATCACCACGCAAAGCCACGAGTTTGTTCACCAATGGATTCATTATCCTGGTAGTAGAGATCTTCGCGTTGATCCCTCCCTGGTTGCAAGCGCACCAACCCCCCCATTTTCAGGAGTAGGAGTGGAGCTGCTCCCCGATGCTGGGGGTGATGGGAGGTCTAGGTATCTTGGAGGGTGGGGGGAGACTCACTTACACGGATGAAGTAGTGTATCTATCAACCCACTTCCGGAAACCGCCGATTTTATCCCCGCGCAGGTTACATTCGGAAGCGCATGAGCTAGCCTAGGCGCGGGGAGCTCGGAAACGCGGGATGCCGGGCTCTCATCCCACATGGGTCGCACATCGGGACGGAGACGGTGTTCATTGGTGGGTTAACAATCTTATTTGAACCGTGTAAGCGATAAGGCTACCGGACATTCTTAGTTATCGATGATTGGACTAGCAGAACGTTCATCTCAATGTCCTGCTGTATTACAGTGTCCTAAAAAGCCAAACGCGTCCCACGGAACGCAGTGGAACTGACCAGTGTGTAAGCAGGCTGTGGCTTAGGGAATTGGAGCGGGAACGACGGGAATAAGCGGTGTCCGCAGGAGCTGGCGGCGGAAAAGTTTAGCCTACCGCATGACGCGGGGAAGTGGGTAATTACTGTCATGAGACGAAGGCTGGCACTTGTTTTACTTGAGGTAGTTGGACATATTAGGATATGTCGACTGGATTTGGATACATTCCAGCGGGCGAGTGCGATCTAGTAGAGCGTGATTGTTGGTTGGGTACTGACTGGCGATAGATGTGATATGTGGCCGACGCATCATCCACGATCATGTGTGGTAAGCGGAAGTACCCAGTCTCGATGGAGTTGCCGAGTTTGGACTCGTCGGCCCACAGACTGGGAGGTCCATGGCTGAGGTTGAGCTCAGTGCAGTGATGTGATGCATAAATCCGAGGAGCTATTGCTTGCGATGAAGGGCCATGGGTTCCCGATGTGCCTCGATGGTAACCAAATCGAAAGCGGGTTCTATTCAGAGATAGGTCCCTTTGGGGTGGGGATGCTTTCTAATCCCTCTTATGATCGTTTGCGGAAGTTTCTTGAGAACCTACTTGCTGTTTTGAAGTAATGTCCCTCGCGGAGACATAGCTAGCGAGGATGTGCTTGCCTGGGAAGGTCTCGATAGGGTGAGACGACAGTTGTGTAATGTGGTAGTGCGGTGTCAGCCATCCTCGCGTTGATCTGCCGGCGCTGCGGTTGCTGGAGATCTTTTGCTGAGATCGATACAACCTTGAGCGGCCAAAATATGTCAAGTTTTAGGTCAGCAGTAGGGAACAAGACGGAATATCCAGAACGTGCTGAATTAACTGAAGCTAATTGAGACAGAATGTTATTCGGATGTGTACCTGTGTGTGGATATTGAGAGGATTGATTTGCGACTTGTAAACCCATCATATGGGGAAACGATCCAGCGGAGTGACAATCAATACGAACCCGACCAAAGGCCGGGAGGGCAGTCGACCCAGGTCTGGGTATACGACGTCTCGGTACTTGACAAAGGGCGGCCTGTTGTGCAACAATGGAAAACAATAGGCTGAATTTCTCACGGCTCCCCAAGTAGAAGATACAGGGGGAGCAAGATCATGTTGTGACGTGGTAAAGTTCTCTGACTGATGTATGCAATTAGCTGTTGGGTTATTCTAGTCTTGTATTCGACTCAGGCTTCGCCATAATAGTGATACCTCGTCGAACAGTAGGACTAGCATTCCTTCTGGTTCAAAAAATGACTGAGAGAAAGCAGTGTTTCGTTGGAGACTAACGCAAGTAAACACATAATCGAAGTGAGTCGTGTTCCAAAACCAAAGAACGTTTATTCATGTGGGTATCTACTCTATAAGTGACTAGGGATGTCATAGATAGAAGGACTAAATAGAAGCATGCCCGTGGGTCTCATAGGGAAGTCCGAAGCAGAAACCGCCGACTAGTACCCATAATGCCGCACTGGCGTAAATCGGCACCACAGTATACCCGGCGTATGTTGACACAAACGATGCCACGAGACCGCCCAGACGAAGGAGCGTGGCAGCAATTCCCGTGCCTGTCCCACGAACGGGGCCGGGAAAGGACTCTGGTGTAAATGCATACATGATGGCATATTCTGTTTAGCGACTATTAGCAAATTCGTCCTCACGGTTCCCGAGAGTCAGCCGACTTACCAAAGTTTCCGAGAATCGCAGTGGCACACTGGAAGCCAATGTCCGCAGCTTCTGTTCCGACGGCTGTGTAGGCGAAGAGGAAGACCCCGGTCAACACGGCAGAGCCCGCCATCATCCACCGGCGGCCGAAGCGGGTCTCGACGCAGAAGCCGGCGGCTATCGGACCGATCACCCCGGCCGAGGACACGATGCAGTAGACCATGTAGGTGTGGCCTAAAGATGTGTTCGTGGAATACGACGACTTGGTCTCCAAGTACGACGGAATAAAGGCAAAGTACAGCGGGTATGCCACACCGACGGTGAGCCAGATGAGGAAAGTCACCGAGGTGTGCTGTGCCATCTTTCTGCCGGCAAACAGTTTCTTGTAGTTGTCGGCGTTGTAATCTTTGAAGCTCTCCCTCAGGATTTCCATGTGCGACAGTTTGGACCCGCGCGGGGCCACGTCGGCGTCTACCGGGGCGACACCGCTGCTGGCGCAGTCGTCCGAGGCCGTAGTTCCATTGCAGCGTCTGTCAATGGCCTGGAGCATGTCAAGAGTCAGGGTCTCAGGGCGACCGTTGTATCGGGCAATGTAGTTCACGGCCTCGACGGCCTCGGCGTCGCGGCCCTTTGAGATGAGGAACTTTGGCGACTCGGGGATTTTGAAAGCGACGATTCGGATCAAGCCGAAAGCAATGGCGACGCCGCCGAGAGTAATCATGAGGTACCGCCTGATTAAATATTGTCAGAAACGATGTTTCGATCAATCGAGGCAAGTTGCCAAATTCAACATACCAACCCATGTTGTTCTGCATGCGACACGGAGCGTCCGTCGAAGGACACGCAAAGTGCGACAGGAACAACCAAGCAAGCAGGGAGACAATGACCTGTCCCAAATTCCACCACGCTGACAGGCTAACGAGCAGCCATTGATAGGTTTGTGGGACGAACTCCAGGAAGACGACGCTGTCGACTGGAACGTTGCCTCCCGCTGCGGTGCCAATGATCGCCCAGAGGATGCAGAAGCCAGTGAAGTTCTGGACTCCGGCCACGGCGCATGCAAAGACGCCGCCGTACAGGATGGTCGCATTGAATGCCGGCTTACGGCCGATGAGATCGGCTGTCGTACCCCAGAAGGAGGCTCCGATGATAAGGCCGACGTAATAGGCCACGGAGCTGAAGCTGAGGCGCGCAATGTCTGTGAATTCATTGCCGATCGGCGGTCGAATGGCCGTGATGCCCTGGGACCAGAAATTGTCGACAATCCAGCCGAAACCATTCACGACGAACAGAATCCACTGGAACCTGGTCGAGAACGGTCGTCAATAAGACCAGGTGCTTGAAGGGGATGGGGGTTGTCTGAGCTCACTTTCCCATGCCAATGGCTCCCAGGTGTTTTGCAATGAGCTCTGACTTCATACGGTAGTTCTCATTCACGGCACCCGTGTAGAACTCACGGAGCGCCGAGTCGGCGTCAGAGTCGGCTTCACCGTGCTGGACGGAGCCGGACAACGTCTGTCTCAAGCCGGTCTCCGTCGCTCCCTTACCAACGCTCTTCTCGCTCGGGGCAGACATGTTTCGCAAAAGTAACGCAAGAAACTAGACGAGCAGATGATTGGGCCCTGGTCCCCAAAAAGAAAGACGAGAAGCTTGGGACCTGGATTATCGGCAACTCGCAGCCTTGCAGGGCGTCGAGTACCTCAGCTTTATTGAGGCCAGGTACTGCAGCAGTCGACGACGAGGCGCTTACTACCCTAGGTAAGGGTCCAAGAAACTGGAGTCAAAGGTTGCATAGAGTTAGCCAACACGTTGAAGGGCCACTCCACAAATGATGTAGTTCAAGACCCGTTATGCCAGGGGCTTTCTGGGGCCAAGGACAAATCAAGGGTCCTTTTCCACTGGGGTGGCCTTCACCTCGGCCTGGGAAGATATGGAGATGCAGATGGGCAATCATGGATTATCACTCGCCTTGGCGTATGAATGTTGATACCTATGGGCAATCTCTCCTTTAGCTGCGATGTATCATCCCAGCCCAAGCCTCTAGGACCCCCAACCCCCACTTTGACATGCACGGCCTGTTCCACAACTTGACGGTGACTCCATACCGGCTGGGATGTCTGATATGGGCTCGCCAATCAACCCGGCCGCGCGCCGCCTCAAGCCGCAATTAGAGTTCAGAAAACAAGGAAGTGGTGTGAAACCCTTTGCCCGCATGGTTCGCTATGATGATCTCATAGATGTGGGCTGGCTGCATCCCGGGAGCGCACGCAATTCTGAAAAAGCCCATATTAAAATCTCTGCAAAATCTCTGCAGGTCAGTCTTGGGTGTCACCTGGAACAAAGGGGACACTGAAGTTCTCGTGGCACTGAATTATTACCCGATAAGACAAGAGAAACATATGCACAAAGAAGCTCATACTCTGGGCGGATGCGCAAGATGAGCCAAAACCGTGCCGCTTGCGCTGCATGTCCCATATCTTGTTGTGTCACTCCGTACAACACCGCTATGTTCTCTGCCTCGGCCTGCATGAAGCGCCGTTTAATAGCCGTCCGCTGCTTGTAAGAAGCCACCAAAGTAGCCATCCAGCCATTGTGCCGCCAACTCGCCGAAGCGGGCATCTGTAGTGCTCCAACGGCTAATCGACCCTACGTAACCGTCCGGTCGCACGACGATCACCCCAGCTTCGTTGGGGACGAGACCGCCCAGCCACTTGTCCGTACAGGACCGGCCTTGTGTGTCCAGGTGCGCCGCATCGTCCAGGTATACCGTCCAGCCACTCCGAGCAAGCAAGGGCGGCAGAGAAGCAATCTCGAACTCGTTCTTGTCCGTAGATGCTGTGTGAACGCCGTGTCAGCGCCATCGCGTGCAAAACACATGGTCAAATGAAACTCGCTGATTGGTCAAGTACCAAGCTCGGAGCTTCCTCCGATGTGGGGAGAATTAAGGGGCCCGACGGAGGAAAAGAAATTCACTTACTGATGAGGGCAAATGTGCAAAGTTGACTGACTGAAGTGTATCTCTCAGGGCGAACATATATGTCATCGGCACGTCTGGCCCGGGGCTTCGCTTCGTGCGACCGAGCTGCTGCCCTCGACAGGCGCGAGACCAAAGAAGACGGCCGCGTGATGCCGTCACTAAAGGCGCCCAAGAACGAGGCGCCCGCGGCGCCCGACACATTGTCCGACACCACGTAGACGCGGAACTGCCCCAGAATGGGAATGTCCAGCTGAGCGTCTACGGGACATGCGTCGATATACCGAGTGAGCTTTGCGGGTGGGAGATTGCAGCCCGGCTTAGCGGAGCCCTTGACGGGTTCTCCGCATCCTCGATTGAGCTCGTTCTCGCCGTATTCGACGCCGACGCCCGAGATGAAGCGCGTGTTGGTCTTCAAATTCTCTGCCAGACGCTTAGCGTCGCCGCGGGCGATCTCGTTGGCGTGTTCGAAGTCGAAGTCGATGAGGTCGTGCGCGATCTTCTTGCGCTCCTGCTCGTATGTGCCCAACAGGACGCCCTCCTTGGCGAGCCCGCGTAACGCCAGATTCAGCTTCCAGCCCAGGTTCCACGAGTCGTGAATGCTCGTGTTCATGCCCTGGGCGGCTTTTGGGCTGTGCGTGTGGCTGGCGTCTCCGGCGATGAAGGCTCGTCGGCTCGCATCCGAGAAGCGCGCGGCCACGCGCTGGGCGACTTGGTAGTTGCCGAACCACTCCACGGAGCGCCATTTGACGCTGTAAGGCGCGAGTATCAGCTGCGCCTGTTTCATAACGTACTCCTCGCCCAGGTCCTTCGACGAGGTTGAAGACTTCATCTCTATGTAGAATCGGGTCATGTTGCGTTCCCGAGGGATGATGAGGATGGACCCATGTGGCTCCGAGAAGACGACCGTCTTGCTCCAGATGTCCGGGAAGTCCGTCTCCAGCTCGCCGTCCAATACACCCCAGACCGAGGTGTGCGGCGTCCCCTGGGCGTATGTGCCGGGAATGCTTCTTCGTACCAAAGACCGCGCCCCGTCGCAACCGACGAGGTATTCCGAGTTGATTTCCGTCGGACCCAGATCAGCGCGATCGCAGTCAATCTGTAGAGAGCCGTCGTCTAGGGAGCGGTAGTTTTGGAAGCTGTGGCTGCGCTGGACTTCGACTCCGCTCTTCCGAAGGTCCTCGATGAAGACAGCCTCCATCATACCCTGATGGCACAGCAGGATGTACGGCTGCAAAACATCAACGACGGATGCCGGGTAGTGGACGGACCGGCTCAGCCGACGCAGGTCGGCATCGTTGGAGCTCTGCCACATGCAAATATCGTGGACCCTGACTCCGGTGCGGATAAGCTCGTCGCCGAGGCGGAGCATCTGCAACGTCTCGATGGACTTGGGCTGGATTCCATCCGCGCGGCCGACAGTCGTCTGGTCTGGTCTTTCGTCGATGACTTGGACGCGTTGACCGAATCTCGCAAGCAAAGACCTGCGTCACCGGATTAGCACGGGGGGGAGTGGGGCCGGGCCTGCCGGATGAAGTGGGACACCTACCCGAGCATCAGGCCGGCTGGCCCGGCCCCCACAACACAAACATCAGATCTGCCCGTGTCCCCGTTCTGTCGTTGTTGAGAATATGAACCATGACTGCCGTTTTTGTGAGATCCAGGAAGAGTCGTCGAAGTTGCCGTCATCGTGTTGTGACAGAGAAACAAGTCCTCAATCTGTGCTAAACTTCAGTGTTGCTGGTTATCCACATAAAACGCAAGGTTCGCCGCGAATATGTGGCCCAAATGACTGATACCAACAGAGCTATGCAGATTGATTATTACGAAATATCAGCTTGTTTAAACAGAAGCTGATTGCTGAGACCGTATCTTGCCCAAGACTTGTCACTCCATTTCGCAGGAACATGGGTCGATATCCAGCTGATGGTGATGCGAACGGGGTCCACAGGTGTCTTACCATGTCGACTGTTTCCATAATTGCCCGAAGGCGACCCTCCACGCCTGGCGGGCGTTTTCTCCCACTCCCCCGCCGATTTTGTATCGGGCTGCAGTAGATCGATCCCCCACCTACGAGGAATCAAAGAACATGATGGCACAAACAAAGCCGAGGCGGGGTATCCCGCGGGAAAGAAACCTAATCCTTTTCCCGGTCTAACGGTCTCCACTGATAAAACCACTTCACTATGATCTCGGGGTTCCAAGTCCGATACCGGCGTATTCCACTAGTCAGATCCGCCCGACATTCTCGTGCTGGTCACTTCAGCCAGTTGTTGGTTCCAAGATCATGCGGGCATTTGATTGAGAGAAATCGCACAAATATCATTCGTGGCTGCTAGAAGCAAGTCAAGCCACTCGCAGCTGTTCACCAAACCCCCTAACATTATTACATGTGCATTCTGGATAGCGCGACGGCAGCCGTGATGGAACTTGCAACCACAAAGCCTACGCAGGGCTGGCAAGATGTTGTGACTAAAAAGAGACAGGTTCGGGCAGAAGCTATCGCCGCACAAGCACAAGAAGGAAAGGATGCAAGATTTGCTGACATCACGAGCATTGGGGACGCTGCAGGGCTCTCATTAATGATATCGCGTGGCGAAGTCTCGTGGGAGAATGTGGTTAAGGCGTACATCCAAAGGTGCGCTTCTGGTTTTTCTAAGCATACGATGTGATTACAAACTAGTCTATGTAACCTTTTGCTAGAGCTATCGAAGCACATGAGAAAGTATGGATTTGTCTCTCAACATATTAGTTAGCGCAAGTACGCTGACGTGTTACTCCGACGGTTCAGACCAACTGGTATGCTGCAGCTTCATATCACATCTACTGCCCATTCACTAAATCCATCTTCATCAAACAGCTTGACGGAGATACTCTTCGAAGATGCGTTGCTACGTGCCAGAGAACTGGGCGCTTATATGGCTAAGCATGGCAAGCCTCTTGGTCCATTCCACGGCGTTCCAATGACACTCAAAGACCAGTTCAATGTTCAAGGTTTTGACTCGACCCTTGGTTATGTCGGAAGATCATTCAAGCCAGCTGTAGAAGATGCTGTGGTTGTGAAAGTTCTACGGTCTCTGGGTGCCGTCATAATTGCCAAGTCTAATATTCCGCAGAGCATCATGGTCAGTCATAGAATTCGCCTGTTATTACGCGGCTCGCGAGCACGATTAATGTTGAACGAGGCTTACTCTCTAACCCTTCCTCCATGGCAGTGGTGTGAGACAGAGAATCCTTTATGGGGTCTCACGACCAATCCTCTGAGTGACAAATACACTCCCGGCGGCTCAACAGGTGGCGAGGCAGCCCTGCTTGCTTGCAATGCTTCGGTTCTAGGATTCGGAACAGACATTGGAGGGAGCATTCGCATTCCGTCGCATATGATGGGGCTGTATGGGTTCAAACCCAGTGTAGGTTATCGAAGTTGCCGCAAGAAAGAAGCCGAGCTCCCGTCTCGGAAGTGTACTCGATGCAATGAAAGCTGATGTATCTTACAGAGTGGACGTTTGCCCTACAGGGGCGTCCCGGTCTCCACAGAGAGACAGGAACATATCCCATCGGCTGTTGGCCCGATGGCTCGCAGCCTCAACACTATTCATCTAACAATGAAGCACCTCGTCGAAGCCAAGCCATTGGAGTTGGATGCTCGCTGCGCACAGAATCCTTGGCGAGACAATGTATACACAGAAACGTTGTCCAAGGCCCTGACTATTGGTGTTCTGTATGATGATGGCGTTGTCCGCCCTCACCCGCCCTTGTCCCGTGTTCTTAGTGCCGCGGTAGAGACTCTGAAAGCAGAGGGCCATGAACCTCTGGAATGGAACGCTGACCTACACGGTGAGTGTATAAGGATCATGGTCAGTTCGCCGAATTTTCTGCTTTGGCTTCTTCGCTGATTGTCTACCTGTAGGACCACTATTACACAGCAGACGGTTGTGAGGACATCAGAAAAGACATGGAAGTCGGGGGTGGGCCGTTTATTCCCCATGTGGACATGCTTATCAAGCGCGGCGAGCCCATTTCTGTATACGAATACTGGCAGCTAAACCAACGCAAGTGGGAGTTACAGCAGAGATGCCTTGAAAAGTGGCAGTCTATCCGATCAGCCAAGACGGGTCGCACGGCTGACATTCTTCTCTTGCCACCCATGCCGCACGCGGCGGTGCCACATGGCGGGTGTCGCTGGGTTGGATACACAAAAGTGTGGAACTTTCTCGACTATCCGGCGCTAGTCATCCCTGGGGGACAGGTCTGTCGGCAGGACGTTGACCAGCCTTGGGATATGGAAGCAAGAGGCGCCCAAGACGAGTGGAATAGCAGCCTATTGACATGTCATAGGGAAGAGATGGCTGCCCTTGGTCTGCCGGTGGGGTTGCAGATCGTTGGCCGGAAGCTGGAGGAAGAGGTGGTGCTAGCCGCTGGGAAGACGATAGACGATGCTCTGCGATGCAGAAGCGGAGCCTCACAGTAAAAGATGGAGCTCAAGCTAAAGAAAGGCCCTCTCGATTGTCGCAGGAGGCGCTGTCGACCTGCTTCTCAATTTGATTCTTATTCCAATTTACTCGCTTGCCGAGTCTGAGCTATGAATATTATCACATGCACCACTGTCAGATCATGGAGTGCAGGGGATACTCGACTGTGACACTGAATTTTAAACGTCTACAACTAATGATAACTGGTGTTTAGCTCCAGGTGACCGATCCATTGGCCGTGTCTGTAGCTTGGAATGACACAGCTAAACATCGGGCATTCTCCTTAGGAACAAGAAAAGAATCAAGAACTCGGAAGGAATTCGTGAGAGTCTCACCGTTTTTTCCATCGAGGAGATAGAAGAGAATGGTGTCAGCCTACGATAATATCAACAAGTAACCACTTAGAGTATATTTCGCAATCTAAGGTTTTGTAAAGGAATCTCCTACAAAGCCAATTCAAAAGTCTTATTCTCAACGCGATATAAATAGCACGATTCCAATTGGGGCCTTGGCTATTATTGGCACCAATATGGTTGCATATTCCTTATGATTATTATACTATTCGCCGATTAAGTTATCTATATGAGATTGGTGTTCATCTGTTTACCTACCTTGAGAAGAAACTAGACACTGTAGGTTTTGGGCGGAAACTCGCATAAACGTCATGCTCATCATCCTGATGGGAGGTGTGGAAGTAGAGGTTCTGATGCATGTCGATGATCCCGCACATCCTTTCTTCTCCCACCGCCAAGTATATTCAAATGTTCTAACTGTTGGTGGTGAGGTCCACTCACGTGACCTCTGGCCACCAGGTTCACCAGCTTCTTCACCTTGCCAGCCAGCAGCCCTTTTTCCTCCTAGTTACACATCACCAATACCACCACTATCCATGGCGATATCGTTGCTCCTCCACACTAACTTATAGAACATGTACTTAGTTGCTTCACCCGCAGCTCATAATAGCTATGTGATCGAAATCGCCGCAGAAGCCGTCATCACTAACTCCCCCACCCTACTTACGAGACACCCCCACATCCAAGACATTATTATCACTATTATCACCACCACTATCACCACTTATTTTACTATCTCTGCCGCCTACCTATATATAACTTTTAGCCTTACTAGGTAATTTAGATGCCCTAGATTTATCTATACTATCTATATTACTAGCATCTAGACTTTACGCCTAGATAATATCCTCTATAGTAGTAAAGGTGCTATTAGGTAATAGGCAGACCTTTTTCCTCTTATATAACTATATATTATCTAACTAGGCCTATAATAAGTTAACTTACCTTTCTAGAAGGGCTGCTCTAAATACCTACTTATTATATCCTTTTTACACCTTTTTAAATAAGTAACAGATAGTATAGGTATCTAACCTATCCTTACCTAGCTAGGTTAACTAGTGTAATTAATACTATAGATTAGTAAGTTAATAAGGGGTTAACTATAGGATAATAGATTTAGCTTTATCCTACTATTAGCTACTAGACTACTAGCTGGCCTGGCTGGCCTGGCTGGCCTGCTAGCCTACTAGGCCTTAGTGACTAGTAGGTTAGATAGAGGGTGCCTTCTAGATACTAGCTATAACCTAGTAGCTCTCTAGCTACTCTTAATATTAATATCTATAATAGATACCTTATAGGCCTTAAAATAACACTTTTGCTAGTAATAGTTAAATCTATTACCTAGTTATCTAGACATCTAACCCTCTAGTAATAGGCCTACTTTAATAAGCTAAAGATAGCTATATCTAGAGGCTAGAGGATAGTAAAGGTATATAATAGTAAAAATAATAGATAGATATAATACTACTAGTATTTCTATATAAAGTTAATAGTTATATAGCTATAATACTTATTAAGAACTAGTAGTTTAGCCTCCTCTAGCTAAGTAGGCCTAGTACGTAAAATAAAGACCTCCTCTAGCTATTTAAAGGCAGTATTATTAGTTATCTAGCTATTATTTATTACTATAAATTACTAAGCCTTATATCTAGATAGGTTAGATAGGTTAGATATAAACCACTAGGCCTAGAGCAACTTACCCTTATATATAAGTAAGGGGGGTAAAAAGCTCCTAGCAGCAGACACATACTTAATAATAAATACTTATACCTAAGATCCTAGCTGCTTTTTCTAGATATATTATAATATTATAAAGCCTAACACTAGCCTATTAACTCTTTTACTCTTTATAATACTAGTCTTATTTATATTCTATTTATTAAATAGATAAATACCTTAGATAGTAAAGATACTACTAAGGTAATAAAAGAAATCCTAAATAACCTTAAGGGAATAAGCTGCTTATTACTAGGTATTAATTACTTTAGATTAGAGGGTTCTAATAGATAGATTTTACTATATAAATTAAGCTATCTATTTTCTACTTATAGGAGGATACCTATTACCTATTATACGCTCTACTAGGCCTTTTACTTATTAATAGGTAATCTGCTTACTAAGGGAAGCTTAGAGGAATATATAGGCAGCTAGATTATCCTCTTAGGCCTAAGATAAGTGTTATATATAGGTAAAAGCAGTATCCCTACTTTACTACCTATAGTATTAATAATAAAGTAACTAGTATAGTATGCCTTATTTAGAAGTAGTAGCCTAGATACTATACCTATTTTATATATCTAGAAGGGCCTAATAAAGCTTATCTTTAGTATACTGCTTTATAATAGGTTAAAGAAGGTATCTTAAAAAAATAGCGTTGTTTAGTTATATATATAAAATGTTATAATAGTTTAAAAAAGGTGGTAATGTTAATAAAGGAGGAGAAATACAGGATTTTTAGATGTCTCGGAAGTAGGGGTGTCTTAGATATAGGGTGGGGGAGTTAGTGTTAAATAGTAGGGATTATAATAGTTAATTAATTAATTCTATTACGTGTTATATTACTATAGTAAAATCCTATAGGAACAGGGAAATCCCCCTATTACTTAGTTAGGAAATCCTAGGCTAATCCTAGCTATATTATTAGTAGACTTACCCTAAAGGTAGGGCTAATTTACTGTCTATTCCCTAACAATTTGCTATAAGGTAACTATATATTTACTAGTTAATTTATATATAATTCTGCTATATTTAACACACCTCCTTAGCGCTAGTAGCGTAATTAATTACTATAAAGCCTACACTAAATATTATCTATATATAGCCTATTTATTTATTAATTATCCTTTAATATCTTATACGTTTTCCTCTTTTATTTAGTAGTAAAGCTTTACTTTATTATTAGCTAATTCTTACTATTAATTTACTTTAAGGCGTATATATTAGTTAGTTATATTTAATTAAGCTATAAATATAGTAAATTATAGCGCACTAAGTGCCTTTATTAATCTATTAGCTATTAATTTAGTAGACTTCTTATACTTAATAGTAATCTAATTTATTACTACTTCTTATTATAGCTAGTAGTTATAAATATCTATATACTATAGCCTTATCTATAGTTAGATAAGCTCCTTAGTAATAAGCCTAATAGTCTAGGTATTATTATAGCTAACGTAAATAGTTAGTAGCTATTTAGTAGCTACCTGCTTATTAAGTAATAATTTAGTTCCTATTTATATTAACAGTTAAATACCTAGTGTAGTAATTAATCTACTAGTAAAAAGCGCCTCTTTTATAGTAAATAATAAGGCTAGTAATCTAGCCTTAGTAGTTAACGTTATTACTATATCTTATTTATTAGCTTACTAGGAGATAAGCCCTTTAAATAGCTTTAGCGTATACGCTTATAAGCTATAATAGTCTAGTAAGTTATTAGTAAATAAGGCGTCTAAAGTAACCTCTAATATATTATTTTTACTACTTAGCGTTACTTTATATTTAAGGTAAAGGTGCTACGTTTAATAAAGATACCTAAGCACTTAATTTACTGCTTTTTAGTAATCTAGATTTAGATTATAGTTAAAGTAGGTAAGCTAGCTAGCTATTAAGGTGACGTCTAGCTAAGTTATTACTACTATATAAAGGATTATCTTTACTTTTTTTTAATATTAGTTAACCTTTTATAATAAGGCTATATATTTACTAGGCAGTAGCTTAGCCCTTACTATAGGTAATAATTTATTATATTTCTTATTTATTAGTAGTAGTTTAGTTACTTTATTATAATATACTACTTATAAGAGCTAGAGATAATAGTTACTTTAGTTATAAATTACCTTAAGGCTAAGGAACAGTTAGATATTAATTACCTTTATAAGTATATAACTATTTAATTATAGTAATAAAATAGGTGACCTATGTACTCTTTTATATAGTTATATTTCTTAGTAGTTATAAGCCTAGCTCCTAGTTAATTAACTAAGTTTAATATATAGTTATAACATATATAATAAAGGGTCTTTACCTAGGAATCTAGGGTTTCTACCTTACATAACATAACGTGTCTAAGGCCTATAAGCTTTATAAGCCCTTAAGGAGGTAAGTTAGATATTAATTACCCTTATAAGTGTGTAACTATTTAATTATAGTAATAAAACAGGTGACCTACATACTCTTTTATATAGTTAAATTTCTTAGTAGAACTACTATAACAGGCCTCTACCTTTAAGGTAGTATTATTACTAAAGGGCTGCTATCTTATTACTTACTTACGCTTTATCTATATAGTAATAGGCTAATATATAGTTATTAACATAAAAGAAGAATATAATATAATCCTTCTTCTAATAGTAATTCTTACTAGGCACTTAGTAAAAGCCTTATGTAGTAAGTCCTTCTTTAAGGTGCTTTTACTATAGTAGTAGTAATTACTAAAGCCTGTATAGCGCTTTTAGTAGCTAGAGGATTTAGCTAGAGATTTAGTAGCCTAGAGGTATCTTTATAAATACTACCTTATTAATAGTAGCGTAAATAAATATATTTACTACGTTATATTAAAGTAATTCTAGATTAAAGTAAGTAGCTATTACTATAAGTATTTTAAATAACATACTTACTAATATAGCTATATAGGTATCTTATAGATTTTTTACTTATTAGTTACTATAGACTATAAGTCTTACTTTAAATTTAGTTAATTAACTATATTTATTAAGCTTATAAGTATATACTTAATAGTAGCTAAGGATTTAATACCTTTTAGCTGCTACTTATAGTACTATTACCTAAGATTTTAATATTTTATACCTATATAGATACGCTTTTTTAGTGTCTTTAAATTACTTTTTATATAGATAGCTTCTTAACTATTTATAGATTAGTAGAGGGTGTAGTAACTTCTAATATATACTTATTAGCCTATAAAGTCTAGTAACTCCTTTATTATATACTAGTAATTTACTAGTAACATTTTTATAATTATTATACCTATTAGGTATTATATAGTTAATTAAGTAGCCTTAGGCGCACTTTAGCTAAAAGTAGTAATTTTTACTTATTAGTTAACTTTATAATATACTAGACTATGTTATTACCTATAAGCTACCTTACGTATAGTCTATAATCTTTTACTATAAAGTAAGCCTTATAAGGAAAGTAGCCTTAAATAAAGTCCTTAGTGTAATCTAACTACCTACGTATGTAGTAAGATAATACCTTTTTATAACGCCTTTAAATAAGGTTACTACTAGCTAGAGATTACCTAATAGGCTAGCTATAGTTACTTAGGAATTTAACACCTTTTTACGCTTAGTAACGTCTTATAAATTAATTATATAGGGATAAGATAAGGTATAAGGGATTACTATCTTTATTACTTTAAAACTATTAGTTCTTAGTAAGTTACTAGCTTATAGGCTATTAGCTATTAATAAATTAATTTATAGGCTATTAGCTATTAATTTAGGTATTTACTTATTAATTATTTTACTATTAGTAATTATTTAGCTATTAGCTATTAGATTAATTAATTTAGAGCTATTAGTTCCTATTTTCCTACCCCCTATATTAAAATCTATAAAGGCTATAAAAAAGGCGCTTAGTAGTAACAGTAGTAAAGTAGGAAGAAGTGTAAATTTTACCTACTTATATAGATATTCTAGTGCGTTACCTAATTATAGAGCGCCTAGTAGAGTAATATTAGCGTGTTCTATTACTTTATTTATTTCTTTATTAGCTTTTTTATATAATAGGGGTTAATTACTAGCTGCTATTAGCTTATTAATTTATTATTAAATTACTATAAGGTTAGCTTTATAAAGCTTATTAAGTAATTTATTTATTAATCTATTAAAGATTTATTTCTTATTAAATATTATATTATATATAGTAAAGACCTTATTTTATACTAGATACTAGACGTAATATAAATTACTAGATATATATTTAATAAGAAATCTAATCTATATATAGGCAGTAAGCTTTTACTAGTAGTTTTATAATAGTTATATATCTACTATTAGTATATACGCTTAGTAGCTATAGGCTTATAGATATAAAAAATCTAGCTTTACTATTAATAAAGGCTTAGCGTGCTTATTAAGTATAAAATATAAGTAAAATAATTAATATAGGGATTTCTACCCCTAAGCTACTAATAGTATTTAATTATAAAGGTATATAGCTATAGTTATAATTTTAGGCTATAGGACTTTAGGTAATTTTATATTAATCTATATATATTACGCCTTAAGTTTAATAATTATAGTAATTTACTTAGCGCTACTATTTTAAGCCTAGGTATTTACTACTAACAGCTTAATAGAGATTCTATAATTAAAGAGCGTATTTATAAGTTACTTAAGGCGTAAGATTTCTTAGTTAGCCTTAATAACTTTTAGTGTAATTAAATATTTAGTTTTTAGGATTATAAGGAAGCCTCTTATTATTAAGTTAATAGTATCTTAGTAGTAGCTATATAGGTAGAAATCTTATATAAGGCCTATTACTTAATCTAAGATTATTATTACTAAGTAGTATCTTATATAGCCTTATTTAAGATTATAAAAGTCTAGCGCTAGGTAATTACCTAGCGCTATATTTATAATAGATTTATAAGGCTAGTAGTAAATCTACTGCCTTATCTTACTAAGACTATATAAATTATAGTCTTATATTATTATAGCGTTAACTTACGTTAGATATACTTTACGTATAGTATTTATAATCCTTTATAAAGCCTTAGTATCTAAGTAGCTAAGACGCTTATACTATATTATTATATTACTATAAAGTAGTTATTACTACGTTAACGTTATATATTTATTTCTTACTTATAGGGTTAGTAGTAAATTATTAGCAGAGTGCGTAGTAAAAGCGCTTTTACTTTTTTAGCTATAGCTATATTACCTATAATATTTAAGCACTTATTAGTTAGCTTATTTCTTAATATAGCCTATAAGGCTATAATTTATATGCCTTAGGTAATTATTACCTAGGCTTATATTTTACTATATACCTTACTAGTGTTACCTTATAAAAGAAATAAGTAATATAGTAAATATACTATAATATATTATGTTATATATATAGAGCTTTACTAGTAAGCTATTAGCGCCCTTTAAAGTAATCTCTATAGTACTATATCTTTTAATTATAACTTAGGTAGTAATAGCCTAAATATAGTTACTAATTAAGGCTACTACTAATATAATAAACTATAATATATAGTTAAATATATAGTTAGTAGTGCCTAAATTAAGTAAGGCTAAATTACCTAGCTTATAGCCTTATAAAGTAGTATAAAAAGCTACCTTTATATAGTATTTACTATATAGTTAATATAACTTAGCCTTAATTCTCTATACTTATTTAGTAAGGTTAAGATTACTTATAATATACTTATTAATCTATTACTAACGTTACGTATTTACCTATTAATTATTAGGCCTTTATAACTTATTTATAAAGTAATAAAGTTATAATAGATAAAGATTAAAGTATATAAGGCACTTTACCTTTTTACTTACGCTTTATTAATAGTAATATCTCTTATTAGTTAATTTATTCTTTTTTACTATATCTTTACTACACGTTAGGTTATTATTACTATTACTTCTAGTTAGGCTAAATACGCTATAGCCTACTTAGCTATAGTATAGTAAGTTATTAGTAAGGGCTTTAACCCTCTCTAGCGCTATCTTATAAAGAGACTACTAGTTAAGATTATTTTAATTACCTATTATTTTACTTATTACTATATATAAATCTAGCTAGGCGCTAAGTATACTACTTTATAATATAGTAATAAGATTATTAAACTAAATTAATAGCTATTAGTAGTTAGGTAAATTAACTTATACTAATTTACTATAAGCTATGTTCTATTTATTAAGCTATATAGTAAGATTTTTCTTAGTAGTTAAGGCCTTTTACTAGGCTTTTACTAACACTTTACTATATTTATTATAGGCATACTTTACGCGCTTTTTTTTAGTTATTCTTACTACTACACTAAGCTTATTAAGCTATTTAGCTAGTAATTTATTAGATTTATAATATCTTTCTTAAAGATCTATAGGTATAGTAGATTTAACTATATTAGCTATATCTTTAATATCTTTTTACTAAGTAGTATACTTATACACTTCCTTATAATAGTAGCTTATCTAGCTATTTAAGTATATAAGATTATATAGGTTAAGATTATCTAGTGTTATTATATATTTAGTTTTATATATAAGCCTATTAGGTATAGCTATAATAGCCTTACTTTTTACTATATATAGCTATATAGTTACTTACTAAGATATCTTAGTAATTACTATAGCTATAGTAACCTCTTAGTAAGCAGGAAGCTTATCCTTAGTTAAGGCGTATAGATATTATATTATAAGTAGCTTTATTAGTTTCTTTAGATATATCTTAAGGATTAATTAGTCTACTACTATAACCTCTAGGTTAATATACTTCTAGAGATTATAACGCTTTACTTTTACTTAGATAGCGTTAAGCTATATAAACTAATTACTATATAATTATAAAATAGTTACCTTATTATTATAGTTCTTATTAATTATTATAATAGTATTTAATTAGTAGATAGGTATATTAGTTATTATAGATATATATATTAGACTATTAATTATTAAATAATAAGGATTATAATAGTTAATTAATTAATTCTATTACGTGTTATGTTACTATAGTAAAATCCTATAGGAATAGGGAAATTCCCCTATTCCTTAGTTAGGAAATCCTAGGCTAATCCTAGCCATATTATTAGTAGACTTACCCTAAAGGTGGGGCTAATTCACCGCCTATTCCCCAACGATTCGCCGTAGGGCAACCGTGCATTCGCCAGTTAATTCACATGTAATTCCGCCACATTTAACAGTTAGTCTCCTGTTCCTAAAAGTCCTAGTTCTATTAACAAGGTTTATGCTATTGCTGTCTGCATACTGCATTGGCGTAATAAGTAGAAGCAACTGTGATTATATTGTGGTGATGAGGGAATGTGATACGGTATACGAATTTATGGCCGCGGACCGCCTCTCTTTTCTGTTGAATTTGCTTTTGATGCCTACAGCCATCGGGAAGGTCAGATACGTGAGCTCATATTTACATATGTGCATAATAAGAAGTGGATGTTCTGCATGACTAAGCTACTTTTATACTGCTGGCAGAACATATACTGAAATGGCCTATCGGCATGACAATCCTCCTTTGGCGTTGGTTGTAAACAAACACTACCGTCCACTTTCACGACTTCTCGCGAAACATGTTCCGAAGTAGGTGTCTTAAGACAACGCTGCTGTTTGGGCCTAATCTATTGGGATATACCCTTTGCGTCTCCAGGGTGTAGGCTCGCAGCTCCTGCACGTTGCGGAAAGTCTGGACTCTTCCCTTGTTGCTCCGTCGATGTTCAATCAGATCAATTATGTTCACATGTGTCCGTCGTGTAGCCTACAATTAGTGTTAGAATGAACCAACCTAATTTCATTCTATGGACTCCTACCTGCTCGCATTCTTCACACGTATTCGGAAGTGGCTTGATATTAATTGCGCGACAAAGCACATGCCACGCAGTCAAGTCGTCTTCTGCACCGTACCACATTTCCATTTCCATTTCTAGCGCCTCTTGGTATTTATTCCACCCATTGATTGACTTGGTTCGGTCATCGCGCCAGCCCATATGTCTCTTCAAGTTGGCATACGATTCGTTCGGTGGGAGAGTAGGATCATAATCGAACGTTGGGTAAGAGCGGAAAAATGCGTCTAAAGGGGTTTCTATGTTTTGTCGATGAACAGGAGAGTCGCGTAGATGTTGCTGTAAAGCTTCCTCGCTACCGAAAGATCGATTACAGGTTTCGCATTCGAACGACGGTGCGTGAACAGGAGAGTCGCGTAGGTGTTGTTGTAAAGCTTCCTCGGTGCCGAAAGATCGGTTGCAGATTTTGCATTCAAAGGATAGCTTATGAACTAGAGAGTCGCGTAGGTGTTGTTGTAAAGCCTCCACATTAGCAAAAGATCGGTTGCAGACAGTACAATGGGAGGTCATAATGCTAGACTTGTCATGCTAATGTGTCGATGAGACTTTTCCCGAGACTGATTTATCTGGTGTTGGCAGGAAGCGACAGCGTATTTAAATATGTGACTAGTATAAGTAATTCTACGCCCAAGGTCAACAGTCTAATGCAGGCGATAAGTGAGTAACACACTTATGTGTGTAGAGTGCTTGTATGAACCAACAGACGATGAACTGGACCAACCATTGTGATGCTTACTGGCCATGCAGCATGGAGAATTCCGTCTCGCCAACCCTTAAAAAGCGTATTGGTTACGGTAGCCCCACGCTCTCAATGCGCTATTTATCTACTTCAGTACCGTTTGCCTGCATCCAAAGCCTGTCAAATTTGTAACTAGCGTTTGGGGATAAAAGATCCAAAACCAGATAATAAAAGTTTCTCACCAACACTCGTTTGCATTATAAGCGAATGACAGATGACCTCTATACAAAGGGATGTTCTATCAACGCTGGCTATTGGACCGAGTGTAACGCCACTGTGCAAGCCTAAATTAAGAACAAGCGCGCTTTCCTGCGTCTCACAATCTCTGATGATCACATCATGCCCAGTTTCGACTAACGACTTCAGGAGCTGGGCGGCATCGTATAGACCTCGGACGGGAGCCCAGACAACAGTAGAGCAGACGCTCATTCATATCTAGCTAGCTACTCATGGCACTGTTACAAACAGGTGAGTATCGTTTGATAAAACCCTCCGGCTCTGCGAAGTACTCCTCAATAGAGAGGCAAATCGGGAGGGTTCGGCGGCAAGGACAGCAATAACTTGCCAGCATCGTCGCACATTTGCTAGATTCTGTCTGATTAATAGACCAAGGAGTTGTCTATCACAGTTACCGAATTTAGCTGGGGGAAACCGCCAGCAGTGAGGAGGCAAATGAGTTGACGAAGCACTCAAAAGCCCCAGTATCAATGTGGTCTTAAAATATATGCGAAAATAGAACACCATCTTGTGTATACACCAGAAGCACCTGGTACCGCTGGGCACGGTGGAACATCGCGGTCCGCATAGGCGCCAACCCCGGAGGAGACTGCCCGTATATCAGAAAAGCCGAACGCTTAATAAACAAAGCCGCTAAACGCCTCAATGAATGCTTTCCGTATGCGCCCATAGTCTCTAGGCGATCCTGTAACTGCGATATCGTCAAGCGATATATTGGTTATTCATTATGCCCATGAAAACTTGTCGTGCTCACATGCTGGCCCCTCTGTCCCTAGCAGCACTAACGGAGGCCACCTGCGACATGCTTTGCATCGTAACTAAAGGAAGACCGTAGTTATTTGTTCTATCAACAGAATCTACCCCCTGTTTCTTGTTTCTCCACCCGCCACTTGGCAAACCGCCTTGCTGCCGCCTCTTGCAGAGAAAGCTGGGAACAAGAATGCCACGCAGCCTGGCGATAAGACGGATGCACCTCGCCTGCAGAATGGGGTTGGTTGCGAGTCGTCCACGACAAGTACAGGGCGCCTATCTACAGGTAAGTCGCAGGGTGGGTCGATGAGCTCTTGTGGTGATTTGTTGAGGTGATGGACGTGTGAGCGGGTCGCCTCTACTTTTCGGCCAGCGCCTATGCAGGAGTATCCTCGATTCTAGGGCGGGGATATGGCACAGCAAGGTGTTCGCTGTGTGGCTTGGATGTCCCATCTTAGGAGTCAAACAGGCTCCTGGCACGTTGATGACCATTTAATCTGGTGGTTAGGAGTCATATACGGATTTTCAGTCACTGTAAGTAATATGAAGAAAGCTCCTTACAGCAAGCTCTATTGCATGAATATACAACAACTTAGCAGATAGTCGCTGACCTCCGCGGCTCCGTCCGGCAGTGACGCCGTTGGAGGGAGCTTCGGGCCGGACCCTTGGGCGTGGTGGGGGCCTGGGCCGTCGTTCTTCCAAAATCCCCCTAAGACTTCGGATCTATCTATGCACCGGCGGCGACAACGACGCCAAATACGTGTATAGAGTTAGCGCGCCAGTTGATTTTCTTGATACCAAGATCCTCTAGATCTAGTTCTTACTGGAGTACAATACCTTCTCTGGCTCTCACATACTGTCGATATGGCCTCTCTCCCACCTCTTTGCACGACTTGGTAAACAAATGGGCCGGTGGCGTCCCCAGCGAGCAGCTAAGAAAATGGAATGAATGCTACGGATTTACTTCGGCGAGCTGTCACTAGAGCGTGTGATATTGACCATTGTTCTCCACAGTTGGTTCCTGATTCTTTGCTCCAACTACGTGTTCAGTGTATGGCTGTGCGCTGCACTGGAGGTCACACATGAGCTGACAACGCGATGATCGGAAGTACTCTGCATTGCTACCGTTGAGATAGCGGATCAGGACTCACGTTGAGTTAGGCTGCGAGGATGGGCACCAACACGTAGCCCGTGGAATTACGCCAAGGCGGGTGACCGGCACGACCTGACCAGTGTCTAAGCCGCTGTTTCTGCAGGCCTGCTGGGATTTGTGAGGTGCAGAGAGGGAAAGACAAGCCTGCGTTCTACTTCGCAAGCTAACAATGTTTTACTGACCTCAGGTACCTTCGTGGTACGGTCGACTACCTCATCGGGCACGGGATGACGCCACCTTGGTTTGTTCCAGCATTTGCCCAACTGACGGTGCATGCGAAAAAGCCCTTTGGGCAAAATTGTCTTGGCAGCGAGTTTGACTCGTTTCTCCGCGCCCAGGCGTCTTCCCGCACCCGATGCATGGGCCTTGAGAGGGCTTTGAGCGCAGGATCTGTGGAGTATTACGCCATTCTCCAAAGAGAGATTGAACTAAAATCTCTGGTATCTTCGCTGTTTCGAGCAGGAGAACCATGGAACCGCAAACCCTCGCACGGTAGCTTGCATTGCATGGTGTCAAGAGGACAGGAATGGAGATCATCGAAATCGACGGCAAAGTCATTGAAGTCAGACCAGTGGCTTTGTGGAAGGTGTCCAAGGACGTACCGGATGAACTCGCTTGCAAATCAATGATTCAAATCTTCAGATCTTTGTGGTGATTTGACGGCTTCTTCCTGGGGGATATGTGATTGCGACGACAAAAGATGCTGGGACGGTGAGAATGATCCGATAGCTTCAGTCAACTCTTCTCTGTTGTACGTGGGTGCCAACGGCGCTTTGGTTGCTTGCCGTTTTGGACGTTGTGCGCGCAACGGCGAAAAGGAGAGGTCCTGCTTCACACCTATGCCGCCAACAGGCAGAGAACTGCCCATTGAGGGGGGGTAGACGAACACGGTAGATGGTTTTGGGAATGACGGATAGTTCAGTCCTGCTCTTTCTGACATCTCATGGCATGTTCTGTGGAGGAGCAACGATGTGGTGGTATTGGTGATCTGTTACTAGGAGAAAAGACTGCTGGCTGGCAAGGTGAAGAAGAAGCTGGTGAATCTGGTGGCAACAGTTCACCACTAACATGCTCAGTGAAGAGTCGAAGAGGGATGCGGTCCTGCGAGACACCTGTGAGTTCAGATGCAGGACGGTTCCTGCTCAAACTATTTGTGATTCCTAGCTTTGGTTTGAGCCTAGGGGTGGCTGATCTTGACCACAATAGACTAGCATCTGGCCATAGAAAGGGGTTTTCACCATACGATTTTACTTCACCCATATAAACCATAGTGGCAGATTACCCAGCCACATCCGAATTATATCCTGACAAGTAGTAGTCATCCTCATCGGCAGTCTTCACAAATCACTACCTTACTCAGTAACATATTTTGCATAAAGAGTATACGAGGGAACTTCACTAGCCTTGAGGCTCGCATCAATTTCATAACTGCCTATGACTGCGTCTTTTTCCACTCCTCGTACTTTTTCATCACCTCCTCCTGACGAGCAGGCATTAGTCCCCCTTCTGGTACCGAATTCTTGGACTTGAAGTAGTCGCTCATCTTTTTAGAAGTTAGAATACCACAGAGGTGCAACAAGTGGGGATTTGTAAAATACCTCTCCCATTGTCACCCACTCGACACCTTCGTGTTTGTTGATGTGCTCAATGACACGCTCATGCATCAGGAGAACATGAGGCCGACCAGAGACATCCGGGTGTATTGTCATGGGGAAAATGAACTCGTCTGCTCTCATGGTCAAAATCCCGAACTATCCACTCTTCTTTCAACTGTCCGTATACTTACCATATTCTCTGTAAAAGTAGTCGAAATGGTCCCGCCAGATATCTTCAACGTCCCTGCAGCACAATCATTTTCAGCCTCCCAGGACTGTCGTCATGGCGCAAAAGAAAGCCACTTACCTAGGGTTTACCCAACCGTGCGAGTTCGCCGAGTTCTTCATAAACATCATGGGAGGAAGATCGTCAATGTACCAGGAACCAGGGATCTCGACCAAGCCGGTCTCCTTGCCCTTCACCAGGGGCTTCATCCAAGCCTCGGCCTTCTGCGTGTAATCGATCTTGGCCCAGGTGTCCCCGGTTCTCAACCAGTACGCCTGACAGTCATGGTGTGACATTGAGTGATCATACTCGATGCCGTAGCTCAGTAGCAGCTCGGTACCTTCTTCGCTGGTCTCCCACCACGGTGCAACGCTGCCCTTAGGTGGCTTGCCGCAGAACTCGGTGAGCATCTTCCACGTCTTGTCGAGGACATCGCGCTGCTGCTCCAGAGTCATATCGACAGGATTCTCGTGACTGTAGCCGTGCAGGCCAATTTCGTGCCCTGCATCACGCACCATGGCGCATTCTTCTGGAAATGTCTCCAGTGTATGGCCGGGAATAAACCATGAGGCTTTGATGTTGTACTTTTCAAAAAGCTTCAAAAGGCGGCGCGTGCCGATAGTCCCAGCCCAAAGACCTTGGATACAACCACTTATCAGCTGCCCCAGGTCGGCATTACCAAAAGTCACTGGCTTCAAGAATGAAACTTACCTCGACTGATGTCGCTCGTGCTATCCTCGCCGCCGTAAGAGCCGAGCCAGCCAGCTACGGCATCAATATCCACACCATAGCTATAATGCGAGGGGTGTTAGAGCACATCCATGTCTGGGCAATGCTTCTCTAAGGTGGCTCCATACCAGACAAGTGCTTTCTTCTTTCCCATTGTGCGTGGTAGATGCTTGCGTCATTCAATATTGTAGATGCGAAGTGTACACGGATGTCCGAACGTTGTCTCCGCGATTGAGACCTTTGTGATGCAAAATCGAACCAACAACAGACGGGCCAGGAAGTCGTTTGGCCAAAAGCGTGGTACTTGGTTGAAACCGAGTAACAGCACTTCGAGACCTACCCCTCAACCATGGGGGGCCTTTGCATGGAGGCAAAGCTACGCATGTCTTATCGCATTCTTTGGTTCTTTAGTATCTTCACCTCTCAACGCCCGGTCTACGTACTACAGATAGGGGCTTGGGGAACTGGGCCCAGAATGTTTCCCGTTCTCAACGCTACATCGCAGATGTAACTTCGGACTCATTCTAGCCTGTCCTTGCATCTCCTTGCGTTGGGGCTTATTGGTTACATCCATTCAACCCGCGTAGCACTTATCAGTTGATGGGGGGGGGGGGGGGGGGGCGGGGGGGGGGCCGAACGACCCCCACCCCCATCCTTGGATCGACGAACGAAAGGACACCCACTTCTAAACACCCACTTGGATTATGATAAGGCTTCTGCGTTCTGTATTCTCTCCGCATACTTTTGGTACATGAATGGGGTCTTGATTGCATCAGATCGTCAGCTCATTAAGATCCTGATTGTTTTAGACCCCTGCAACGCTTTTATCTTACAAACAGAAGTGACTTCTTAGGGGCAGAGAGCTAATTACTGCCAAACCTGGCAGCTGGAATGAAACCTAGCAATCTATGATGCACCCACTGGGACGCGGTATGATGACTGGGTAATGGCTACCATGCATTCGGACAACTGAGACCTGACAAGAGAATGGGGGAATGGGAGGAGAGGCTATCACTGTGCATCGATGCCGCAGCGAACGGTGAAGTTTGGAACATTCCGAATGCTTTCCGATCGGAAGCAAGTAGACTTTGATTAACATGTTGACGAGCGCTGAGCTCAAAACAAATCAAACACAGCCATCCACTCACCGTTTTATCGCCGAAGGTGTTAAGCTTTGCAAATCATATACTTCAGGGACAGTGTTACATCATACTCCTTTTTAGCTTCTATTTGTACGACAGAAAAAAGCACCTGGAGCGACCCGGGTATAATCAACCTATACAATAGCAGTTGAAACATAGCGCTTCTCAGTCGTATCAAAACACAAACAGAGTATCACCCCCCGAGATGTCAAAAGTACGTAGAAAGGCAACAGGGGGGGGTCAAAGGTCGTTCATGCAATGAGCTCTAACACTTTCAGTTCTCTCTGACGGGTCGCGTCGCCGTCGTCACTGGTAGTGGCCGGGGTTGCGGGCTTGCTTTTGCCCAAGGTCTCGCTGAAGCAGGGGCTGATGTTGCCATCTTTGACTTGATCGACCCAGACCCCGTCGCTTTGGAGCAACTCTCCGCAGCAACTGGTATTCGAGCAAAGGCATACGTTGTGGATGTAACATCGGTCTCGAGCCTGGAGAAAGGCTTCGCGTCCGTTGCGACCGACTTCGGCAGCAAGCTGGACATCTTCGTTGCTTGCGCTGGTGTGAACAAGAACGTAGAGTTTCTAGACACCGAAGAGGCGGACTTTGACAGGCTTTACGGGGTCAATTGCAAGGGACTATACTTCTCTGCCAAGCTTGCTGCAAAGGCCATGATCTCGAACGGGACCAAATGCGGCAGCATTATTTTCGTCGCCAGCATTGCATCTCATATTGCCATTCGCTCACAACGGTCCACCGCTTACTGCGGTACAAAAGGCGCAGTTCGAGCTATGGTGGCGCCTATCGCTGCCGAGCTGGACAAGCACGGTATCCGAGTCAACTCAATCTCGCCCGGCTACGTGAGAACCGAGATGACGGCTCCTTTTCCCGACCTTCTGGAGAGTTGGAAGGACGAGATCATGAACGGTAGAGTTGCAGAGCCAGATGATATCAAAGGTGCATGCGTCTTTCTGGCCAGCGACGCTAGCAGGTATGTTGGCCCACTTTGATAAGCTAATAAATGATGAGATCCGAAGACTGAAGCCTTACAGATACTGTCAGGCAAGCGACATTGTGGTTGATGGAGGTGTCACAAAATGGTAGTAGCAACATGGAATGCCAAAATAGTTACCTTGGACTTTCTCCCGGAAACTGTGTACCTTCAGTGCTATTGAAGTGAATGATCGCGAAAAAGCCAAGTTATACTTCTTTCTGATTGGTTCGTTGCTATTTTCCGAGGGTTGACATTAGTGAAAGTCACGTGTAACCACCTCATGATGCAACCTCATGACTCACCACGCTGCCATATCCTTTGTTGGACTGAATGTCCCCTTAACTATCCTGATGCAAGACACCTACTCAGCATTGAGCAACCAGAGGCCTGGGTAAGCATAGGCACTATGGCCATTTTTGCCGATCTTTGGGCCATAACGGCCAATAAGGCCGTGGTTTTATTTGGCATCGCACCATTGGTGTTTATCTGTTTCTATCTCATTTCCAACATCTTTCTTCATCCTTTGCACAAGGTTCCTGGGCCATGGATAGCAACCATATCTCCGCTTTGGCTATGGTACCACTCGTATATCGGCGATGAGGCAACTTCAATTGAACGGCTGCATTCGATTTATGGACCGGTCGTCCGGATAGCCCCAAATGACATTGATATCAGCGATGGTGCGGCCCTTGCCCCTATCTACTCGGAGAAAGGTGGTTTCTTGAAAGCGCCTTATTACGCCAACTTCGACTTTGACGGGCATCCAACTATCTTCTCCGCTCTGAACCCAGCACATAGATCCATTCGGGCAAGGGCAGTAGTCGGCATGTTCAGTCCTGCATCGATTCGCAAAGAGGGCGATGCAATCCTCCAGTCCTGTGCGAAAAGACTTGCCGTGCATATCAAAGAACAGGCATCCAACGGAGGATCAGTCAATATGCTCACTATGGGGAGGTGCCTGGCCCTTGATGCCGTTACTGAGTATCTTCTCGGCAAACCATACGGAGCCATTGCTGAGCTTGAGTCATACAAAACCAGCAATTCGTCCACCAAATTGTCTGCCAGCGAGTTTGTTGACACATTCGTCGCTGTTGGGCGTTTCTTTCTATTGCCAAAATGGATCTTTCACGGTCTCGAATGGATCCTACCTAAGATTTTCCCTGACCAAGAGGTCGACCGGTCGATGGATCTAGTCACGCACTTCTGCAACCAAGTTGTTGCCGATGCTAACCTTGAGAGGGATCAGACATATCAGGCTCGGTTGCTGAGAGCTGGCATCAGTATGGAAGAAGCCGCTCTACAGTGTATGGATCTCATGTTCGCTGGCACCGATAGCACTGGGATGAATTTCGGCACGATATGTTGGCATTTAGCACAATCGCCACAGGCATACCAGAAGCTGAAAGACGAACTCGCATCGCCAGCAGCTCTGCAGGCTGACCCGCAGACTCTCCCTTATCTCCGAAGTGTAGTTCGCGAAGGATTACGGCTGTCTATGGCAAACCCGACGAGGCTACCTCGCGTTGTGTCGCCAACCGGGTTTTCATTTTCGACAAAGATGCCATCGGGTATGACCAGGACCTTCGAGTTTCCTGGTGGCACCTGCATCGGGTGTGCTTCATTTAGCCTACACTTCAACGAGGATGTATTTCCCGACTCGAGATCCTTCAAACCAGAGCGGTGGCTTGATTCAACCGATAAGATGCTGCGCGACTACATTCCCTTTGGTCTTGGACCAAGGCAATGCATTGCTCGCAACCTTGCGTCTAGTGAGCTGTTCTGGGCCGTAAGGGAATTGGCTGTTTCGGGAGTTCTTGATGGTGCTCAGACAACTGGGCGTATGAAGGAAGGCATCATTATTGATGAGTGGTTCAACTCTAAGGTTCCGGGTCACGCAATCGAATTGACGTGGGGGCAATAGAAATGGTGGTTGGATTCCAAACGGAACGTGGTAGGATTGTCCGATACGGAACCATTTATCCTATAATCCCGCCTGTAGCAAACCAATTTTTGTGGAAACACAATCGCAGGGTTCCAACTCTATCATGTGATCTTCATCACGAGTTGGAACGTCCCAAGTTTTCGGTTTAATAGGTTCCTAAAAATCACATACCACTTGCGCATTGGTGATGTGTAGGCTGAGCGTATGTCTCCCCACTACCAGAATAATTCCGAAGCCGTTTACCCGAACGAAAGCTCATGTATGGGCCTAACAAGTATTAGTAACCAGATAGAATGGTGACGCCAATGTGCAGCAACTATCCACAGAATTGATTCAAATCGACAATAGTTGGTCAGAACTGACGGCATCGTCGTGGCAGCGGGTCTTGAAAATGGTCAAACTGAGCCTGTTCCTATGTTCATCAGTAGCTCCGAGTTGTCTGTGCATTGACAGGGGCGCAATTCTTGGCAGCAGAAACCAGTTCCGAGAAGTGGTTCGCTCCATTGACGAAAAGACAGCTATTGGTGGTGTGGCATTTGAGCTTTCTGAGGCTAAGAATGCCTACGCATAGCTGAAAGCAAAGAAGCACTATTCCAAAATCGTCATTAACACGGAAGATGGAACTATGATTCATCTAAATGAAAAATCTCCATCTCTGATCCTTTTCGCCCTCGCTCAGGTCCCGTGTTTCGACATCCTCCGCTCTTAGGGAAACCCTCTGGTCCTTGTTCCTTCTGCTATTTTCTATACGCATCCAAATTCCCAGCCATAGAGTGAATATTATACAGGTAATATTGCAACCAGCTGTCGCAAGGAGTGTTGGAGCATATCGCGGGGCGTAAGTTGTCCGGAAGGTTCCTGCTGAGAGAATGCCGCCCAGGTTGCCAAGGCCCACAAGCAAACCAGTCGTTGCGGCCCGCGAATTCTCACTCAAATTGTTGTTGTTATGCCAGCTGTGAACAAGACAGCTCGGTATGTAAGCGCCAGCAGTGAGCAGGAAGGTCGCGAAGTACGCGACACCAACGTGGGCTCGGGCATCGATGACCGCCAGCACAACGAGGCCTATGAGGCTTGTCGTCAAGCTACCGATGATGTGAAAGGTGCGTTCTCGGTTCTTGTCAGAGCTGTAAGTGACAGCAAGCAGAACCAAGAAGCCAGTAACGTTTGGAGGAACCGTGAGTAAGTTTGTCGTCACCTTATTGTAGCCTAACAGACCGATGACAAGAGGAAGGAAGTTTGCTGTTGTAGAGAATGCCACAGGATAAGTAAAACTGATAATGCACCAGATCGGAAACTTCCAGTCTTTCCAGGTTTGAAAGCACTGCTTGAGACTAAACTCTTCTCCGAGGTTACGAGTGCCATCTCGGAGGGACCGGAGAGAAGCTACTTCCCGCTCAGCTTGGGTTAGGAACCAAGCACTTTGGGAATTTGCAGGTAGCCACCAAAAGGCAACAATACCAAAGATGACGGTTAAACCTCCTGTACTATATTATCAGTCATTCTCTCCTAGTTGATGTAGATGGTCGGGCTTGTACCTTCAATGAGAAAAAGCCACATCCACCCTTGAACGTGGGGGTGTTGAATCCGAAACACTCCGAACGAGATTAGACCGGAAAAGGCACTAGCTAACACCGCGCTTCCAAAGAACAAAGCGATGCGAAAGCCAAGTTCCCCTCGTGTGTAGAATAAGGTCAAATAAAAGACAGCTCCGGCAAAGAAACCAGCCTCGAAAGCCCTGATGGATGTATAATATGAGTATCGGCAAAAACAATAACGGAGGAAGGTTAAACTTACCCAAGGATTAGACGGATAGCGAGCATGCCACCGAAGTTCTTGCAGGCCGCTTGCAGAAGTGCCATGGCACCCCATCCTACCATGAGTCCCGGCAAGACAATGCGACCGGAGTAACGCTTAGTTAAAAGGTTCAGCGGTAAGTCAAAAAGTCCATTTGGAATATAGAAGAGCAGAATAAGTAGAGAGTATTGTTCTCCGACGAATCCCAAGTCCTTGCTCATGCCATCTGTTTCGGCATTTCCAAGGTTACTCTAGTCTTAATATTAGCGAGAAAGTCAAGTTCGTTTGCCATATAACACTTGCTCTGTCGACTGCGTTGAAGAAGTACACTGTGTATATCAGCATGTATTTTCTCTTTAATTGTCTTTATATTGAACTCGAGATTTCTATTACTTAAGGAGAGAAAAGGCAGAAGCCACATGTCCATCTTTCGAACTAAGCAAAATCAGTGTCAGAGATATTAAGCAGAGGCGAAGTATTTTATTCACTCCCCCAAACTTACCATAAGCCTTTTCTGTGGCATCGTTAATCATAATCTGGTTTCCAGACTCTTGGTCATCAACGGCGCGCTCGTCAGAGGGCTTCGACCCCATTGTTTCAGATTTCGCCATGATACAACCAGCACGCTGCAGCAAATTAATGAATATAAAACGCTGATCGGTGTATCTTAAACGACCTAGTACTCTGTATGATTGAGAGCACATCAAGCTAGGTTATATCAAATTCAAGAGCAGTATCAATACACAACTGTCACCCTGGAAGTAGCCAACCAGCCACATTATCCTGTCCCCCTTCAGCCAGTTACAACTTGTAGGTAGGCATTCAATATCAGATAGTCGATAAGAATGGCGCAACAATGATAACCCATGACGGCCGGGGTCTCATTCACATTGCACTAATCCCAACGTTTCGGGAACTAACGCAGGCAGTATGTGACGATGCAATCTAAGACAACCAGTATCAAGAGTGGGGGTAACGCTATCACATCACACAGCATCGGGGTGGGTAACGTTAATCTAGAGTAGGCCGAGGCCCCCCAATCCCCCATTGGCGGTCACTTTGCACTTCAGAATCGTAAAACTGAAATAATGCTTGCTATGAAATCTGAGGCAACGTAATTACAAACCCGTAAAGTAACTCTTACGCGACAGCGATCTGCCCCGACGGAAATTCTGTCTGCTGAGCCTGCAATTTGTTCGTCGTGACCTGCTCGAGGCCCTGCTTGTACAACTGTGCCCTTCCATAAGACTCAGCATAGGATGCAGACACTGCCTCCTCCACAGTTACGGGACCAAACTTGGCCGGAATTGTTGCTGACTGACAAGTGGGAATGCAGTCGACCACGTAGTCGGGGTTTCCCGAGACAAAGAAAGGGATAGAATAACGTTCTTGCCCAGACTTGTTGATAACCCTGTGGATATTACTTTGGTATAACTCATTGGTCCACGTTGCCATGAGATTACCCAAGTTCACTACAAATACGCCCTCGGTCGGCGGAACCTATAAATCAATGGTCAGCACTGATGCATCAATGGCTTGAACAGCAGGTTGGCTATAATTAGATGCTTCCACTTACGTCAATCCATGTCTCGTTCTTTTTGTCCCACACCTGCAACCCATCTATCTCATCTTGAAGAAGTATGGTAATAGCGCCGAAGTCCGTATGGGCACCAATCCCACGCGTCAACTTCTCGTCCGCGTCTTTAGGTTGTGTTGGGTAGTGGAGAAGCCTCATCGACGCAACAGCTCCGTCCATGAACTTGGCAAAATAGTCCTCTTCGAGGTCCAGTGACAACGCAAGAACTCCCATAAGGTCTGCGGCCAACTTCAGCGCCGAGGAGTAGTATTCCATCATAGCATCCTTGAAGCTTTGCAAGTCACTCCCCAGACCCGCCGGCCACTGGTTAGGACCGCTGTTCAGCTTCTTGTTGATAAAGTAAGGGTGGGTCTCAGGGATTTCTGCTCCAATGTAGAAGCCCTCCTTGAGCTCAGGATGGGTACCCTCCTCAAGTATCTGTGATCTGAGCATCTCGTAGCCGCGGTTCCATGTGGTGTTCTCCTTGGCCACTTTCTGCTTTTCTTCAAGTGGAAGCGCAAAGAACTTCTTGGCGTTTTTCATAGCGGCCTTCTGCTGCGCGAGAGGCACAGAGTGACCAATGATCTGAAAGAACCCATTGTAAATACAGCTATCGCGGATTTGATCAACGACTTTTTGCTTCTGAGACGCATTTTGAGAGTAGAACCCTGCAACCATGTGATGTCAATTTAAGGCATCCTTGAGGAGGGAATTTGGCAGAGTTTACTCACCTGAAAAGTCAATGATGGGGATCTCAAGGGCGGCCATGATTGTTTCGGTACAAATATGACTGCCAGTACCAATAGAGTGCGCTCAGCTTGTAAAAGGTCGAGTCAGTGTCGAGCCGAATCAGTTTATACACCATATAATGTGTCTCTGGATATGTACCCAATATAGGTCAGCATCAGCTGTTGCCAGTAAATCTTCACTAATATAGTCGTGATTAGCATGTGAGGACTAAGATCGTCAACCCCAAGCCATTCATCCCATCCTTTTTCTGGGCGCTCGCCCTTGCGAAGTGACACTATGACAGAGAGTGGGGGTAAATGATAGCATCCTCTGCATGTGTGGCCTCATAGGCCGCGAAATTCCTCGGGCAACTCCAACGTAGCGGTAGATGGAAGAACTGATAAAGGTTGACGATATGTTACTGAGGCGAATCAGACGCCTTTGGTGCCGTTCCCTACTCGGGCTTGGCCGAACCCCCGCCGGAAACCCCACTTTCCCCTCTTACCATTCACAGTAGATAAGACGTGCTTTGTCATTGCAAAGATAGCACCTGGTGTGGTTCCAGACCTGTGACAACCCGTCTGCAATGTTGAATGGCCGGCCCAGAGTCTCGAAGTTAGAGGTTCATGGGTAATTGTTTCCCGAGATATAGTTTGAGTTACTTAGGTCAGCGTGGCGGGGGGGGCGCCACACGTTACGACAGGCCCTCTGCAACCAGACCAACAAGAATCAGGAAGGCTTGGCGCTTCTTGTTACATGTTCAATTGCACATCGCAACTGAGGACTACACAGTAAGTTCATAAAATTAGGCCAGTGATATTGTGCAACGAACTCCCGCTCATGTTTCATCACAAAGGACGATCAAGTGTTGTCCCAGTGCAGAGATGGACTCAATTTCGTTCCTCCAGGTTGACTTGGGTCCAGATGGTTCTTGTCAGGGTAGACTAAAAGTCACAGGGAAGGAATATGGCGGTCCAGATAGGTGAATCTTGGAAGTCATAGAAAATCGCTCTCAATCTGACTATGAATCCCGGATTGGTCCAAGCGCTGAAGTGACCTTGTGTTCTCATACATCATATTCCATATACGTCCGTTTCTGACAAGTCCTTCACTGAAGTGTTTCTTGCTGTGAGCTCACCACGCAAGCTCCTGTTGTGATGCGCAACCTGCTTTTTCAAGATCTGCGCAGAATGCTTCATCATCGCACAATTTCCCAGTAGTCATTTCTCCATACAGTTGTGGAGTTGCAGGCCATATTTCTTTCCCCCCATGGTTCAGTTCCTTCTGCCGATGTGCCATGACCTCTTCTCGTAGGGTGTTCTGAAAGTGAATGGGGCCCTAAACAACTACAAGTCAGACTACCAACGTTGGTAAATACATAACATTCTTCGTACCTTTTCCTTGTCCGGATGAAGCTCGCCGCTGATGAAAACGCCAGCATTGAGATTCTCCTGTGCACCGATACAAAGTTCTCGGTCCTCCTCTAGAATTTGTTTGTAGAATGCGTTGATTGCAGTGAACTCGGCATCTGTGGCAGTGTGAGATCGATAAACTTCATTTTCGATTCTAGTTCTGGTCGCGCTGACAGGAATCATTCGTTGGATGTAGAAAAAGTTTTGGCTCCAGGGGATCTTAGCTAAAAAGTTTCATGCAGGAATCGAATTTTGTTTGCTTGCTTACGTGATTGTAACTGACGTTGACGGATAGAAGAAAGTGATAGATCGTCGAAACTCGTCTTCCTCGTCTTGGGCCTTTTTGTTGACAATTTCATGCTCGAGACATCCACCGCTAGGCTCAACGCGATATTTCGTCAAGTCCGACACCCCTGCGATCAAGGGATGGGATGTTGGGCAATGGTAGCACTCGTTGTAGTTCTCGATCACCGCTTTCCAATTGGCTTCCAGCTCCATATCCCAGACGTGATCATAGGTATAACCACTAGAGAAGTCAAAGTTCTGCATCCTCGGTTTTTGATAGACTCCGCCGAATTCGTCTTCCCATTTCACTTGTGGGTCACCTGCTTGTAGGTTCACCCAAACGAAGCCAGCGGGGTCCACGCGGACATGAATGGGTAGTAGTCCGTTCTGACTCTTGTCAAAGCCCTTGACTGTGTCAAATCTTGGGGCCTTGGCAAGATTTCCTTTGTAGCCGTATGACCAGCCATGGTATTTGCAACTGAGGATGCTTGCCTTGCCTGATCTTTTCTCGATGACAGGGTATGCGCGATGACGGCAAACGTTGTGGAAGCCGTTGATGTTACGATCGCGGTCCTGGACCAGGAAAAAAGGAAAATCTGCGTAAACAAAGGAAAGAAAGTCGCCGGTCTGCTTGAATCGCAGCGAATGGGTGACTAGTATCCATTTCCTGGATATGATGGCTCGCCGCTCAAGTTGGTATAGTTCTGGGGACCGATACCACGACGCCGGAAGGCTTCGTGACGATTCAGGCTTGACATCTTTGGTTGCCGAAGAAAGGCGAAGAAAACGCAACATGTCTCTGGGTTGAATAGATGCGGAAATGTGGGTATGCGTAAAGAAAGATTTCAAGATGCAAGGATGGAGACCCTCGATTAGAATTAGAGGCTGAAAACTATGGGTACGCACTTCTATACTGTTCACCCTCAACTCGTTCTCTGACTCTTATGGCCACCGCTGCTTTGAGCACATGTCTCGGAACCACAACGGTCTAGCTATTTCAGGAATTCTGGTGCACTTATCGTAGGTGGGGAACTTGTTTTCATTACTATGGTTGACTCCTAGTGTGGTTGGAAATGGGGGTGGGGTTGCACAAAGGACGAAGGGCATGGATGCAAACCTTCCGCGGTATTACGATAAAGGTTTACTTAACACACACAGCGTGTCAGGCCATAACCCGCGATTCGATTTGGTACTGCAGTGATGACAGCAGCGCGGGGTATTGAAGCGATATGAATGATAACTTAAGAATCTAAGTCCTAACGTAGGCTATTAGCTTTGTTAGAAGGGCAACAGATGAGCAATAAAGCAGGCATATTATTAGAGGCAGGGATAGTATTAAGTAAAGAAGTTAACAATTAGTGTAGTTAGGGTTTAATTAGAATAATTATTCTAATCTACCTCCTCTAACCCCTAAGTCCTATAGAGTTTTCCTCTTTTTATGTTCTTTTAGTAACTAGTTTATTTAGCCCTAGCCTTACTTTAGTACCTCCTTAGGGCCCTGCTCTAAACTCCTAATATAATCCTCTCTCTTTAAGGTCTTGCCCTTAGGACCTTAAATAAGTTATGTTGTAATGCCCTTATGTGTATTACGTGTATCTAGCTCTAGTTAGCTAATTTCTCTAAGCTAAAGAAATAGTTATTCTAAACTAAGCCTTATCCTTATATATCTAACCTACTTATGTTATAACCTAATGTTGTGAGGGGGCCCGTGTGCTGGGAGGTCACGTGACCTCCCAGGCCCCTCACCTCTTCGCCAGCCTCTGCCTATAGCCTTAAGAGGAGGATATTCCTCTACACTACACACCACTACAGATTAGAAATATCACTATTTACCTTACTTTATTACTCTTATGCTCCTACAGGTTATAAAGCCTAGGCCTATATTAATTTTTCTTTTAAATTAATTAGTTACCTCTACCTATCTTTATTAATTTATAATTATCTACTAATTATTATAGTAGTTACTTAACTTTACTTACTATTTTTACTACAGCCTAAGCTAAGGATCCTTTACTAATTACTATAAGGATACCCTTACCTATTAACTACCTTAATCTATTACTTTAGGTATTTATTAAATAGTAGTAAATTATATAACGTTTTAGATATGCCTTTTACTATAGTAAAAGAAACATATAAAGATTAACATATAGTTAGGCTAACTATAGTCTAAAGTAACTTACCTATATTACTATTATTATAGCTAATAGTAGTAATTACTAAATAGTCTTATTAACTATCCCTAAGCTTAAGGGGGAGTTAAACTAGTCCTTATAGATTATACTTATTAGTGCTACCCTCTATACTAATAAAGTTAAGAAGTATATTAACTATAATATCTCTTAACTAGCTAAAGACACTATAGCCTTTACCTTATAAGAAGCTAACTATAACGTTATATATAACCTTTTTATTTTATTATATAATATATTAATTAATAAGCTTCTTAACATAAGATAGTAAGATAATAGTAATCCTTATACCTTAATAAAAGCACTTAAGAAATATATTCCTAAGGTATCTAAAGACGTAGTTAAAGCCCTTATTAATAAATTCTCTAAGGGCAGTGCCTAAGATTATAAGACTCTTTATAATACCCTTAAACGCATGTAGTATCTATACGCCTATATTACTAGCCTTTATAGTAAAAACTCTAACTACTATTAGGCTATCCTCTTACTTAATTATTTTAAGACATATCTGCCTAATATATATAAGCACTACACTAATAATAATAAGAAGCCTAAGTAGGCTATAGTTATTAAGACTATTTATATACTTACTTAAGATAAGAAGTAAAAGATAGGCCTTATTACCTACTGTAAGGTAGCTGCTATAGTTACTACTACCTCTAGCACTAATAGCTAAGGCGCTACTCTTACTAAGAAGTTAGGCTGTAATATTTACCCTTATTATAAGAAGGGTTATATTACTATAAAGTGTTAGACTACCTATCTAAAGCTTATTCCTACTAATTATATGTTTTATAATAATCTATTTGCCTATATAGCTAAGTATGTCTATAATAAGGATTATAAAGAGGCTACTGCCTCTATTACACCTAATTCTTTTACGTTAGTTTTTATAAAAGGTGCCTTAGGCGTACTAGGCAGCTCCTTAATTACTAGCCTTATAATATAACTAAGTAAGGCTATCTTTACTACTATAAGTAATAAAGTTATTACCTTATTTAATATTATACTAGATTTAGGCTACTTAAGCCTTATCTTTAACTTACTTTAACTCTTTATATTATATACTATTTATAATAACCTTCTTCTTTTTACTACTATAAATAGAGAGTAAGTATATCTAGAGGGATCTAGTACTATCTTCTTCTAAACTTAAGATCTAGCTAATCTATCTTAAATAATTAACTAGACTATTAAAGATATTAAGTATAGCCCTTATAGCCTAGCTAACCTTCTTAGCCTTAGTAAGCTTTATAAGGTAGGAATTAAGTATAACTATATAACTACTAGTATTATTAACACTAAATCTAAGGCCTAATTAGCTGCTATTAAATAGATTTCTAACGTCTATATGCTTTACGTTATAGATAGGCTAACTATACCTATAGTAACTACCCTTACTTTATTAGTAGTTAGAGGTAAGTACTAGCTAACCCTTAAGATAATATACTATTAACTTATTTATACCTATCTATTATAGGTTATTAAGGCCTACTGTTAAGTAGGTATATAATTTACCTAGGCTAAGATTAATACCTTTTACTATAAAGCCTACTACTTAGCTAAATCTATAGAGCTTATTAGCTATAACACTCTGCTACCTCTTACCCTAGTAAGTAAAGAGATTTATCTTAACCTTATTAAGGTTAAACTGCTATTAAAGACTAGTATAAGATATACTTTTTATTTTCTTAACTATTACAGTAGCTACTATTAGCTTTAACTCTTATAAGCTTATTACTATAAAGTTATACTTAATACTATTAAGAATTCTAACACTACTTTTACTAATGTAACTAGCCTTACTATTAAGAGCTAGGTTTCTAATAACGCGCCTAAGCTAAAGAAGGTGCTTTATAATCCCTACTTTATAGGCATAAGGCTTAACCTTATAATTATATATACCCTATTAATAAATAGATTAATTAAGTAAGCTAGTTATATACTTATAAAGGCTGCCTATACGTTACTTATTAATAACAGCCTGCTAAAAAAGCTTTAGGATTATACCTTTAACACTATAGTATAAATCCTTAACCTTTTACCTTAATCTACTAAAGGTAAAATAAGCCCCTATAAGATTATTACCTATAAGCTTAACCTTATTACTAATTATAAGCCTCCTTATATTAAACACCTTTACACCTTTAGCTGCGTAGTATATATATATAAAAAGGGTAGCAAGCGCCCCTTACGTTCTATAAAGATAAAGCTGTGTGTAATAAAGGGTTACCTTATTAGATATAGCTCTTTACGTAGCTATATCTACTATATTTATATCCTAAGTAAGAAGTAAGTTATCTGCTATTATAACGTTTATTTTTATAAAAGGCCTAAAAAGACTGTTCTTTACCTTATTAATAGAGTTACTATCCTAGTAGATACTAATTATAATATACTATTTAATAAGCCTAATCTAATAACCTAGTATCTAGCCTACATCTTTAACTTATATTAACCTATTACTAAAAAGTCTTATAACTAGTAAATTAATTAATCTAATAGTAGTAAGTTAGATAGTAAGCGTATTAATAATAGCCACTACATAACACCTCCTCTAGAGGATTATTAACAGTAACCTATCTCTACTATACACCTTACTTAACAGACTAATAATATAGATACTACTAAAGACAAGTTTTATAATATAAAGCAGTAAAAGGCTAACTTTCTAGCCCCTATTATAAAGGAAGATTAGCTAGACCTTATCGCTAAGGTTACTACTACTTTAGTTACTAAAAGGGGCCAACCGCGCTATACTAACACTATAAAGCCGCCTAGCTACTACTAAGATACTACTAGTATCTAAAAGTATAATAAAAAGGCTTATCTTACTATAGATATTTAGGTTTATAATAACGCTTATTATTACTCTATTAGTGCACTTACTACTACTGCCTTGTTATATATACTACCCCCTAGATATAATATTCTATTTACTATTAAGAAGGCTAAAGAAGGCCTATACTAGCACTACTAGAAGCAGGCTTATAATATTAAGATCTAATAATTTACTAATAAGGAGGTTTATACCCTTATTAATTCTCCTTTTAATATAAAGATTCTTCTTAGTAAGGAGGTATTTAATATTAAAACTAATATAAAAAATAAGATCATTAGATATAAGGCCTAATAAGTAGTCTATAGTAACTATAAGTAAGGTAAATAGTCTTTATAAGAGGTATATACTACTATAGCTACTACTACTACTATACGCCTCCTCTTTACTATTATTACCTTATATAGACTAGTATATAAAATACATAACTTTAATACTACCTTTCTTACTACCCCTATACCTAACAGCACTTACGTTTATGTCTGTTAACCTACTAGTTACGCTACTAATAATAATAAGGTGTAGTTACTTTATAAGGCTCTTTACGGCCTTTATAAGGCACTACTATAGTAGTTTATACTTATTAAGGGTAAAATAAAGAAAATTAGCTTCTACCTAGTTAAGGGAGAAATTTACCTCTTTATTAATAAGAAGCTTAATACCTACGCCTTAATATATATTAATAATAACGTAGTAGCTACTACTAATAAGGAGACTACTAAAAAGGTACGTAACATACTAGCTAAGGTCTGCCTATTAAAGGA